AGGCGGCAATTTATATATCTGCCTATATGTATAGACACGAGCCATGTCCCGCTGCCTTGTTGCTAAACTGCAAATACTTACACTCGACAGACAGAGTGCAACCATTTTATATCTGCCCGTCTGCAGTTCTCTTTGTTTCGCTTTGGATTTGTTATAATTTCAACAACTTCCGCATTGTCAAACATATAGGATGCATTTATATATACGAATAATGTGTATATCTGCTATCGCCGACGACGTCTGCAATCAATGAACCGAGCTATAAAACGTTATTCATATACAAAAACTAAATATTATTTTTGTTTTTCGCGCACATTTGTGTTCTCCATTAGTCCGTTTTACTCATTCTGCACTTTGTACTTTAAACGTAAAATTGCAAAGTATATTTAGCTTTAATATTTAAATTCGTTTTCTTTGTTTCCATTTCCAGGTTGGCATTGAGTAAATTAAATTTCGGAAAACTGCAAAAGTAATTAGAGGTATGTATTTTAAAATAATATTTGGTTTTTTGTTTCTTAAAAATAAAAGATTTAGGAATACCGTCCAGTTCTCTTAAGGTCAAGCATTTTATAAATTAAATATTTGTTATTACAAGAACCTATGGACATTTCAATTTCACCAATTTATTATATTTTAGACTTAAGCTTTGTCCAAGTTTTATTTTTACTTGTCAACACGGTGACGCACAATATTAGATAATGACAGTGCTTGACCACGCTTTTCCACAAAAAGAATAAAAACGAAAAATATACAAAAAATAAGTAAAGAGCAGCCGATTGGCCCTGAACTTGACTTGAGTTGGTCTTTGGGAAAGCAGAGTCAATGGTCTGGTCTTTAGTATTCCACCAAAATGCTTAGTTGCCAAAAGCGCTGTCAGTCTTATTTTTGTATATATTTTTGTTATTATGTTTTATCAGTTCTTTCTACACTTTTGTTGTTGCTGTTGGGGCCAATGAACGTGAAGCTTGCAAATCAGCAAAATAAAAAACTGAAAGAAAATGAGGAAAAAAAATTGTTTATACAAGCTAGCAAATTGCAAAATGCTTTTTCTATCACATGCAGTGTGCATGTGAGCGAGCGTTCTATTTAAGCGTGTTGAGGCATATAGCTCATCAAAAAGCTGGACGGTCTAGGGAAATCACGTTTAACCAACTGTAACGATTTCCGGTTAAATAGGTTTCACCATGAAATGATTCTTCCTTTAAATTAAACCTTTGAAACTGAATGGCTTAAGAATTTGTAAAGAAATGTAGCCCAAAAGGCTACATTCAATGCTCCTGCCTACAAACTTATTCGCACAATTAAGGTATATGTAGTTATGTATATGGTTAACTGCTAATTAAAATGATATCAATTTATTTATCTCTAAGTACCTAATGATATCATGCAGCTATATATCAGGGCTTTCCATCCTAATTAAAGGTTTTCAGTAGTATTGTGAAATTCAAATACCTTTGTTTGAACAGTCCATCAAATTAGCGCGAGTTAATAATTTAGTTTCCACCTCTTTTCGCCTGCTAGTAAGGGAATTGGATGATTTTTGGGGGTGCCCAAAATAGAATAAAAACATATATTATATAATACTCACACATGAGTGGGAATTGGCAAGAGGGAGTGAAGAAATGTGCCATTGTTATTTAGCCCTCGAAGCGAGGTGCCTCGTCTGGCGCCCCTTGTGCCAATTTCCATTTGATAAACATAAACAAATCGATACGCGTCACAACAACGTCTCTAAGGGAGTGGGTGTTTGGGGGTGATCTGGAAGGACTGCATCAGTATATAGACTAACAAGCTTTGTGTACACACCAGCCGGCTGGCCTCCACAAAAATGGGAAAAAAAAACCATGGGGGTGGGTTTTCCGGGGGGTTTTCCCCATGCTGTGCTGGAAAATTACGACGCAGAAATTGGGTCCAGAAGGATAAATCCTGTCTCTGCATCTCTACAATCCTCTCGTTTCGCCCACTTTGGCTTGTCCTTGACAGTCTGCGGTTGGCATTTTGTTGTGTCTCCGCTCGTTCATAACAAAAACAACATGGAATAAAGAGAAAGCCTTTTACCGGGAAGCTTAGGGAAAGGCTTAAAGCAAAGCTCTCGCCTTGGGCGTTGCCAGATGGACACTTAAAATGGGATACGCGGTCCCAAAACTTTTTAATTAATTAGGGTTTATTTATGCCTTGGGGTGTACACTGAATTAGGGAACTCAAAGTGAATGGAAAATTCGCGCCTCTGCATAAAGCATTCGGCTGTGGAAGACGCCCATTAAAAGCAACGACAAAGGACAACGCCCACAAAAACGAAGAAAAACACGCCATCAGTTATTCAAGGTCTCCAAAGCTTTGCACTGCCTTGAACTTCGGCGAAAGGAAAGCGAAAGTGGAAATATGGAGCTTCTATCCAATGAAACCCGAATCGTACCGCCCACGCATCCCTATAGCACATACCTATCTATATATGTACATATGTAGGTATAACTAATCCTACTCTGTTACGTAGGCGGTATCGGGTATTGGGAATATATTTTGTAAATACTCAAATGCCGGAGCCCACGTCCTTGAAAATCATTCATCACACCCCAGTAACAGGAAAACATACAGTTGAGGTCAGAAAAAAAACGTCTCGGGAGTAAAATTGTATTTTTTTAATCTTACATTTTTTTTGTCACATCAAGTTTGTAATGTTGTTCAATTGTTTTAAATAATTTGATAATGCTTACTAAGACATATATTTAATAAAATAAAATTGTAAGCTTTAATTGCTTTTAAAACATGACGAATATTTTTGCATCTTCCTTCTCTCCTATAAATAATCAGCAATGTCAAGATTAAAACCCTAGTATTCAAGCTATCAAAATTTCTTCCAAAACTTAATGTGAAATATATTTATTTATGTATAATATTTTGACATAAACAATTTTTTTATATTTTTTTATTTATTTTATTTTTGTGTTGGTTTTTGTTGGGAGAAATTTTTTTTAGCTTGAACACTGCCCCTAAAACTTAACTAAGATATTCACTATATTTTAAAACAGTTTTTTTTGTGTGCTTTTGTTTTGACCGCAATTGTGTTTGTTGTTCTGAGTGTTTGGGTGGTTGGTCGAGCGTGGGCTCGGGCTGTTATCCTTGTTGCTCCCTACGTATCCTTGGCGTTCCCTCTGCAAGCTGTGTCGCAATTTCATATTCAAGGACATGGCTGTGATTTGCTGCCACAGGAGCTACTGGCAGAACAACAAAAAACTCCGTGCGTCAGTGGGTTATTTTCCTTTCCGAAGAGTATGCACATACAAATGTACATAGATAGTACATAGTATATTCCGCTTCTGTCCATGTTAGTATAATTTAACATCATAGAATTTGTAGGCTCTTCTTGTTGCCTGGTATCCCCATTGAGTGGCCCTTAATGGTCTTTTTTGATTGACTTAATAATAATTTATTTGAGACATTGCATTTTACAGAAACAAATATTTAAAATAAGATGAATAATTGTTAAGTCAAATATTTAAGGATTCAAACTAATAAATTAAAAACTAAAATCAATTATTATGTCAAATTTATGAAATTTAAATATGTCAAACAGATTTTGGTATTACTTATCACAAAGTGAAGGATAAACAAATATTAAATTAAAAAATTATCAAAATTCAATTAAATATTAAAAAAAAACAAACTTATTCGCTTTATGCTAAGATTTCCCCTCCTTTTTATTGCTAGCTAAGCTCAACTCTGTATCGCATTACACTTTTATGTGGCGAATTGCATCAGCTGAATATATCCGAGAAGTTCCAAAGAGTACGATACGATTCGATCGAAGAAAAAGGACGGAAAGAACTGCAAATTATATAGATATTTACGTACATACACACAAGCAAATCAAACTGATAGATGATTCGGAATTTGAATTGATATGGTTGCGATCTTGATTGTTTTTGTTATAAACAAACTAATAAAGACCGGGTGCAAAAAGAGTGCAACGTCAGCGACGAAAAAAAGCGGGCGCGTTTTGCTTAATTTGTATTGCTTGCAATTTTATTTAATTTTACAATTGGCATCATACTTATAGTATTTTGTATTTTTTCGATTGCTGTAAACAAGTTTATTTTTACACTGGCGAAAAATAAAATAAAATCAAAATCAAAGCGCCAGACAATTTCATAACAAAATTTGCATAAAAAACCCCAACGAAAACAACAACAATGGCGAATGTGCAAGAAAAGGGAAAACAAGCTGAAGTAAACAACAAAAGTGACGTCAAAACAAAGAGAGAGGGAGAGAGAGTGGCTGCGAAGCTTTGTAAATGAATTTATTTAATAATCAAATGCCAAAAGCAGAATAATAATAAAAACCAAAACAACAGACTGTACTCAAGCTTTTTGTGCCGTCTCTCTTCTTTCCATTCTTCTTTCTCTCTTCAAAATGGAAAAGTGGAAGTGAAAGAAGCAACAGACAGACTTACTTGTGTGAGTGGAAATGCTGGTGGGGCATGCGCCTCACCGCGCTCTGACAAGCTGCTCTCCCCACACTGTAAAAACTTTATTAAGATAGGAGGCATACTTATTTATTGCTTAAAATTGAATTTGTAAAAATGTCAATTACAATTTTTTTTTAAACATTTAACATTTAATTTTAAATTAAAAATATTTACTACACGTGATAAAATTTTGAACTTGTAATTTGTGAAGGAAGTCCGGGCTATCCATTCGATAACGTTTTGCCATTTTGTACAAGTAAGAAGAATTAAGCTTAATTTCCTGATTTTATATGTAGTAGATGTAGATATGTAGTATTGTTTTTATACCAAAGGTCGATGAAGCTAACATTTTAGTTGGGCAAATAAAAAACTCATTTTCATTTAAGATGGTTTGATTCCCAATGATAACCGATTTTTAATAGAGCTGGCTTTTTTTCTGTGTACTCTCTTCCAGCTGTACAATCAAAACAAAAGCGATTGGGGAGCTTTTGGCGCTCTGCTTTTTGGCTTTGTCGCCGAGCTTTGCACACTTTTTATCAATCGGTCAAGAACGATTGACGAGCGCAGTCAAAAAAAATAAGCCAACTAAAAGCTAAAGACTTTAGAACAGCAAACCAGTGTATTGGCTAGCACACACACAACCAAAGTGTGATAATCAAAATAAAAAGAAGAACTAAAACAATTAAAGTGTACGCGTACCGTGAAAATTAAAATAATTGGAAAAACCCAGAAATTAAAACCCCAAAATCATATAAATAGTTAAAGTTTTGTTTGTCATAATTTTATTGGCAACCTATAGAAACAAGTTTCTGAAATAGCCGCATTTAACGAACTAGTTTCCGAGGCGACGAAAAAACTATACCAATTTGCATAAATAAATAAACCAGCAAACATAAACGCTGCCAATCTTGACGAATGCGTTGGAATTTTTCTACCGAATAATACATATAGCGCTGTATGCGTACATATGTATATAAATTCTTATTAGAACCCCACACTCAACAAAAAAAACGAGAGGGAGAGAGCCGAAAGCCCCAAAGCTTAGGCTCCGCTCTCTGGGGCGCTCGCCTCCATCGATCATTTGTTCGCTTGGCGCTCAGCTGCTCGGTTGAAAATCGGAAATAAACCGCAAAATTGACAACAAAACGCGAATCAAAGGCACCAAAAAGCAAACAAAGCTAATCTCAATTTGTTGTAAATTTTTGCCATTAATTTAGAAACGAGTTTCATAAAAATTATTGAGTGCCAACCCGCAGTAAATGTGCGGAATAATAAAAATAATAAATTAAAAACGACTTTTGCGGCCGCTGATAAGATTTGCCCCTTATCAAAATTCATATAAACTAAGTGTTTAGTTTGGTATATTGTGCTTTGGATGATATACTAAAAATGTGCTTCATTATAAATAAATTTTCGTTTTAATCGCCACATGTGTGACCTAGTTAAAAAACAACTCACACTTACGCATGAAATAACAATGAAATTTACATATAAACGTGGACCTCCTCACCACGCATAATAATTAATAACGAAAAGCGAAAACGAGGATGAGGAAAAATTAAATAAAAACAAAATTTTAATTAATTTGTAAACACCGTGAGAGGGGAATGTTTAAATTGTGTGCATTTAATTGAAAATCTTCGCGGAAGTAATATAAAAACGCTTATACAACAAATCAGTACAGCATCATTTTCTGCCTTGTTTATACTCAACGAGGTGTAAAAAGGAAAGAAGCAGATAAGGTTGGTAATAATATACACAAAAACATATACAAAATTTGTTAAGATTTTATAGACGACCACACAAAGAAGGTGCAGAACGAAAAAGTTTAAGCCAAACATTAAAATTAATGTGCTACCAAAATAATCTTGTTATTCTTTAGAAAAATATCAATAAAATGGTGATACAAATAGAAAGGAAAAGATATTTTAAAGTTAAAACGGAATAAAATAGCTTAAATAAGACAGAAAGGTGTGTTCTTCATTAACTTAATTATAAATAATTATATAATATAAGTATAAATAATAAAACACCGTTGATTAGAATTACCCAAAAGAATAAAGTTATTGAGGAGTTTCCTAAAACACAATCAATAGATCACAAAACTAAGATAATTTATGTTTCTTGAAAGAAATCGTGTAAATCTTGTATTTAACATTAATCTGTAAAGTTCACAAAAACTTATATGCAGGCATTACAATTTTTATGTACTCGGCACTTTTCTAAGCCGACATACTGGTAATTTATGACCACAGACCAATTAAAAATTTGACTCAAGCCAGAAAAGGGGCTCCATAAACACAAACTCTACCCCAAAACAGAAACCGAAAACTTTAAAATGAAAATCTAGTCTGCCCTTTGAAATGTGAGACCCACAAAAACGAAAAAAAAACTAAACCAATACCAAGGCAAACAAAAAACATAAAATAAGCAGCTCACATAAACCTATAAACATTCGAGTTTTATTTATGTATCGAGCACACTGTATAGGCGGCTTGATAGCAGCTCAAGTTAAGCATTTCCTGTCGCGTCAACATAATCTTTTGGAAATCCACGGGTCCCCAAGGGGCAAGCAAATTGGTGGGATAAAAATATGAATCTTTTCAGGCCTTTTTTCTAAGAGGTTCGCTGTCTATTTTTTTTCCCCCATTTGTGCAAATAATCAGAGGCAAACACACAGATAGAAGTGAAACAAAAGAAAATCAACAACAAAATTTGCTGTGTATGGCAACAAAAAATTAAATTGAAATTGATTTCAATTTGAATTTTGTGCGGTCGGCTTGAGTTCAGTGTCAGTGCGAAAATTCAAGGTTGAAAACTGTTGACTTCGTACAAGAAATAAAGTAAAATAAATACATGAGCGTCAACACGTGAGGAACTACAAAATAGAAGAGTCTAAAAAGCAGCCATATGTTGATAAACTTCAGTAGTAAAATAGTAGAAAAGAAACTCAAATCATTCCTCTTACCCCTCGTCTAAGCAAATAGCCAGTTTTTAAGTTTTCTAGGCGCCACAATATTACGTATACGACACGGATCCAGCTGCTAAATCAGTTTGATGCAATGCCATATAAACTTGAGCAATTTCTTTGGTACTTGAAGAGACTCAACAGTGAGGCTAACGATAAGAGTTGTAAATTTGGCTAGAAAAATAACAAAAAAAAACTCAAAATAAAAATTAGGGCAAAGCTAAGTGAGGTGATAATGATTAAAGTGTTGATATGGCGTATATTTGAAAACAAATTTACTCAAAACCTTCACTGAGGGTCGGGACAATAAATTTAATAATACATGTTTACCTAGAGGTTATGATAGTATTTTTCCCACATAACTATGTTAAATTTTTACATGTGAGAAATGTACATAAGAGATACCATTTAATGTATATCATTTTAATTTAATCCAAATTATATTTCTTCACAAATTCAGTTGTACTTTATTTTATTAATTGAACTAGTATCTTAATTTCATTTCGTCTTCAATCAAAGTAATATAAACCATATGGATTATTTCATCATTTAGTTTTCAATAGCCTCATAGAATTATAAAGTCAGCTGTCAGTAGATGTGTTTATCATAACTGGTTTTAGTAATTTCGCATGTACATATGTAATTTAATTATTTACACATTAACGGTGTCATAATTAATTTACAAGTTGTCGAAAATAAAGTCTGTGCGCTTACATTAACAAAATGTAAAAAGTTAGTGTAGATGATCTATCAAACTGGTTTTATTGCATCATGATCTTGATTCCCCATAAAACATTGGTTTCAATTTTGTTCTTATTTGTTTACTTTTCAATCAGATTGTTTGAAAAAGATTTTTACTTATTATAATTTGTTGAAATTGCTGACTATATAGTCTATATACGGTCATTTGCTTTTGCTGGCCTTCAACTTTCTTTGTTGCCGCTGGGAGGAGATTTTTGTGATCTTTCCAGAGGCTGTTCCGCGGATGCGGCCATTAAGCAAACTTGTTTGCTTTTCTTTGAAATTTCTTTAGCAAAAATAATTCAAACACATTTATACATATTTATATCAATTGTTGTTGTCGCTGTCTCTTGAATTTTTAAGTGCTCATGAGTCATAAGTGTTTTGATATACTTTGTGTTTATAAACGCCCTCGCAGAGCGATCCTTTTTTTTTTGGGTCAGTTTGTAGAAGGGACAGTGCTAGGTAACAAGCAAAAAATATACCATGCGGGGGCGTAAACTTCCTGAACCGAAATTTATTTTTATTCGTGCGCATAAACAAAACATACGTTTGTCATCTTTCGTGTTGGTTTATCTCTTCATTTGCGGCTGCTCGATAAGATAAGTTCTGCCATTCACGCCACCCCTAAAAAGTTAGGGGGCAGCTCTGAAAATTTGCAAGTGCCTGACCCATTGAGCGTATCGCTTATCAGTAGCCCATTGTCGTCTCTGCCGGCACGCGGCTGTTGGCTGATAAGAGGCGGAGTCAACAGCGGTACAGCTACAGCTGACGGCCAGACGCCTCTGGAGGGTCCCTTGCCACTCGATAAGGAGGCGCGAGAATCGCTCCGTCGACTCACGTGTTCCTGCCTCCTCACCGACTTGAGCCGACGTCATCAGACGCGATTTTTCGAACCCTTTGAAATGCATTTCTATTTGACTAATCGTCTACAGACGTATCGGTCTTGAAAGCTACAGCTACGGTCACGATTCTTATTGATTTCTATTCAGCAAGAGCATCTTCTGTTTGTTCAAGTATTCAGACAGCTTGTGCTAATTTCTTTTTGTGCTGCTAAATCGATATAAATTGATTTTAATTATTTACCTATTAGCGAATCGGTGGGGAAGCAAATATGATATACTCTTCTTGATTGGTTGGTTTCGTTGGGGTTTGTGGTTAACTGACGATCAGCGTGGGGGAGTAGAAGTGTTTTTGGAATTTCTAAAGCGAAAGTATTGGTTTAAGTACTGTGAAGTGTGCAAATCATTACATTTAATATAATTGGCTACAAAAAAAAAAAAAAAGTTTCGGTGTGGACTATATTTTTATTTTTAAGTTTTCTATCATAGAATTATATGAAAATGAACTTTTACAAAAAAAAACTTGTTAGCAAATTTGAAAATTTAAGATAGATTCTGTGTTTTTGGGGAAATGTAAATTATTTTCCAAGTTCACGGAGGTTCGAGCGTTTTTCAACTTTTCTATACGATTTTCAAAGTCTTAGCTAAGCTATGGAAATTTGGTTTTAAATGTAAATTTATGCGATTCTTATATACTAACCTAGATCTCTCACCTCTAACGACTATACGTATATTCACTTCCCTGAGTTCGCTGATCGATGCCTTGCCCCGCTCTTCCTCTTCCAATCAATACAACAATTTACAATTTACGTCAGCTGTTTGTATAAGAAGTATAAAGTATAAAACAAAAAGCAAAACAAAAACCGAACGCGACAGAGCGTGTTATATCATCAATTGCCAGACATTCGCTATGCTATGCTAAACATTCCGGCATATGAATACTAAATAAACGGTAGAATCGAATACTTAATACCTAACATGCTCACATTTGTGTACACTGAACCAAAATTAAAATCCTTTTGTTGCTGATATCGTGAGATTAGAATTAAATACCAAAAATTGTTTGAATATAGCTGTAACACGAAATTTTATAGTTTTGAAGAATATTTGGAACTGAAAACATTTAAATCTTTTAGAAAAAATACCAATTTTGTACTGTGTATCCATTAAATTTTTATGTCCCCTCTACTAAACGGGGGCACTATAAATAAGTCGAAAGAACTTGCACTTGGCTCTGTGGCTACCTCAACATAAATTTGTTTATTACTGTATTTGTATTTTCATTGTTGTATAGGGGTTTTTCTATATGTGTGTGGGTGCATGCAAAAATTGCGTGTTCCTAAAATTAGAGCAAAGAGTGAGACAAAGCAAAGAGACAAAGGTAAAAGTGACTTGCACAAATTGCTAAACAAAGAAATGGCTAAGCAGGATTCTGACAAGGGGTCTTTTTTTATTGTAAGGGGTAATTAAGATAAATTAATTATATGTGTTCCCAAGGGTAGGGAACCTCCATCAGCAGTTTCCAATAAATAGTAATACTTTTTTTTATAATTTATTTTTTAGAAAAATAAGTTTTTAAACCCCTTATGAGTGCGCCACTGAGGAAAAGACTTTTGTTAGAAAGAAACGTAAAATCTAAGTGAAAAAGAAAGAACGAGGGGCCAAAACTGCATGCTGTCGGAACATGTGACGGTTGATGACAAATGTTGACAATAACAAACCCGAGTGCGAAGAGCGGGTACAGGGGCCAATGGAAATTATAGAGCACCTAGCCTAGCCCCTCAACTCCCTGCATCAGGCATTGACCACTGCCACTGACCCATTGATAATGCGGAACGGAAGTTGCGCTCAACCAGCGGGGCTTGTGTCTTATATTTTTACCTTTGTTTTTATTTTAATTTTTAGTTTATTGTTTTTGTTTTGCTAGTCTCCGTTACGATCAGAGTTCTATATTGATAATGCAAACGTGTCGTGCTCACCTGTTTTAGCGTAATCTCAATATGGATCTAATTGCAACGTGTTAAAAGTATACATACGTACGATAGAAAGTGGAAAAAAAGAAACTTGTAGGTTCTCTATAAAGAATTCGATAGTTGAACTTTATTTGTATACTACTTACAGCTACCTAAATGTACTAACTTTTATTTAAAAAAATAATGAAAGAACAAAAAATTTCCGTTTTGCTTAATGCAATTCTCGATTTAAATACACATACATATGTATTTTTAAAGTAAATAATAAAATTCTGAATCTGAATCTGAAGCTGTAGATTGAAAACAAGTTCACAAAGGTATTTAAAAAGTTTTCAATATAATATAACATTTTATTAAGCATAAGTAGTCTTGACCAAGTTTTTTAAACGTGGCGTATGAGTAATTTTTGGATCATGCACTTGATCCTTCCTTTCGTCAAAATTTCCATTTCCTCATCAGTCTTTCGTAGACTTGCTTTTAAGAACGCTCTATACTACCGTATGTACATGTACATATATAGCGCAATCAAGAAGCACATGAAATCCCCCATATACACGAGTACACACATCTAGTATAAATTCTGGCGAAATGTAAAAGCTTATATTTTTTTTGTAAACCAGCAACAAGAACGACAACAGACAAAACTCGTCAGTCAAGCAAAGCTACAAAAAGCTTAATATTATATACCCTATACAAACACTACATACACACGTGTACACATGCCTATATAAATAACTAAAGTCTACGAAGATGGCGACAAAAGCAAATAGACGGAAAACATATGTTGCTCAAATCCAGAGAGAAAAAGAGAGAAGCAAAGCGCCCACGCTCTCCGCAAAGCTTTTTTATATTTACAAGCGTCGCGTTTTGTTTACAACTCTACAGCTTATTTTATTTCCCTGTATGGGTAAGTTGAAAACAAAGGCAACTCTGCGATAAATTATACATTCAAAACAAAATATAAAAAAATAAACAGTTTTGACCTTGGGTTTGCTTAAAATTCGTGCTCTCTCATTGGCGCTCTCTCCGCCTCTCTTCCACTTAATTTGTTGATAGCAAGCCACGCAAACTTTTTTTTGTAGCCAGCTTTCCTCAGTAATTGGTATTATTATTGCATTATTTCATCGTGTATTGAAATACGCTGGTAAGACCCGTACATGTGTTTATAATATCGCTTAAATTTCATTTGGATTTGTTTTTATTTTCATTTCCCTTTCGTTGTTCGCGATTAGTCACATAACGTCCATATTGGTCACGGCTCAAACTGGAAATTTGTACTTTACCCCCTTACTAAAATTATCTACCAAATGCTCTTCACGCGCATCCCATTCGTTTTAAATTTTTGTACCTAGCTTATACAGCGACAACCCTTTCTTCAACCAGGATCTATAGAACTATAACTATCATATTTATAAGAGAAAAAAATATAAACCAATTCTTAAAATATTTTCTTTACTGCTTATATCTTTTTGTGTTTGGTAAATGCTAAATCAAACAAAATCAAACACTAAAAAATCAAACACTACAATAAGTACGGCTTATAACAAGATAAAGTTACTTTAATTTATTACAAAAAGATCACTAGTAAGTTCCCTATAGGGTAGATCAACTGTAGATATGAATCTTTGTACATACATATTAATTTTTTGCTTGGCTAAAATCTCGCTCTTCTGCCTGCGATATCAGATGCTTTGGATCAGATGTTCGGCGGCTGCCCCGTTTTCACTAGCGTTTCTCCCCACCAAACATTTCGCGTTCATTAACTCGTTGTAAATGTGTGCGTGAGGAATTTTTTAATAGTATTATTCATTATATAGAAAAGCTTGTTTATCTTTTATTGTGTGCTTCTCCAATGTTTGGTTGCCTTCTTCAATTTTTCGTACGATTCCACTTGGGGATTTTCTGTCTTTTTCTGTCTTTTTCGGCAACCAATATGTAATAATTTTTTTTTATTCGCCCCCTTATTCGTCTATTTCCATGTTTGATGGTCGGTTTGGCGGGTATATAATATATAAGCGCCCCATTCGGGTTTCGGTTCCTATGTTTTAGTTCTCGCTTTTTATTATTGTTTGGCCTTCAACGCGTTCAGCTACCTTTGACGAATATTAAACAATTTCAAGAGGAAATAGCAATAATGTAAAGAAACCAGAGAAACAAGCATATCACTTAGCAAAAGTAGAATTTGGTCTGTGTTTGAGTTTGTGTTTGCCTTGTATATCGAGAGGCTTCCCCACTCCACAACCCAACCCCTTTACCATTCATATAAAACCGTCGGTATGTACACATCGTGTGACCTTCACGTCTTGGGACCGGGCATTACAAAGTTCAAATCTAAACTGGCTAATGTAAAACGGCGGCCTTATCGTCTGGAATGTGCTCACTTATCGGTTGTAGTGAATGAAAGATAAGCCAATCAGGATATAAAGATGGAGTTGGTTGTGGTTTAATAATTTCTTGTAATTATTCTTCTTAATTATTACATTAAATAAATATTATATTAAATATTAAATATTCTTAAATAAAGCTGGGGTGCTTAAAAACAAAATTAAAAGAAAAACAAATCATAACTCTTAGAAATGGATGCCTATTTAACCATCCTATTTTCTCAAACTTTTTCCGGTTTACCTTTTATTAAGTTGTACCTCAGATTCAACGCCATTTCCTCAAATTTTCCATATTGCACGGCGCAAATTGTGCCAAATCTCTTATACTAGATGCACTTTTCTTTCCTGATTTATGAACATTAAATGGAAAACGAGAATGTTGTATTTTCATTTGTAAACAAACTAATTAATATTTATTGTTGGGCCACAGAATGAAAAACAACAATAGCAGGCACACCATCGGTTCCGCACCCTGAGGCCTTTCACCTGATCGAGAAGTGGTATCGACCGAAAGAATCGAATCAAACCCGAAAATGGCTTACTAATTTTGCCTTAGTTTGCCATTTCTTGTTTCTTTTTAGCACCCAAATTTTGATACTTTTTTTTTGCGAGTTCCATTTGTTGTTTTGATGGCCAAAACAAAACTGTTGATGATTTCTCTGCCTTCTTGCTTTCAAAAATGTGTTGTTCACCAAATCAGTATAAAGTGTTTGGCAAGCGGAGGGAAAAAGAGGGGACCGGACCGGACCTATCGCTGTTGTTTTTTATTCTACCTTTTCGGCTTGCCGTAAAATAGGCGATAACCATAACAATAACAAACGTTGAATAGTGTTGAGTTGGCTTTTGGATTTGCAAATTCTTCAGACGCCAAAAGATTGCGTTTATCTTCTTAAGTTTCCAGAAGTATACCTTGTTGTTTTGATATAAGTTTATTATAAGATAATAAATAGGGAAAGTTCCAGTTTCGAATAAAAACCACTGACTTAATTTAATCTTGTTGCCACTTTTAGATTTAGTCTATAAGCACTGTGGGTAAAACCATTTACCGTTCTCCGCCACAATTTATGTAGATATTTTTATTAAATCGATTTGATCACGTGTTGGGACCGTCCACTGTTGAACACGTGTAAGAGCCCATCAATTATAATCTTACCTTGGGTCTGGCTTGGCCTGGGTAAAAGCTTTGGTTCCGGCTAGATAACAGCTGCAGGGGTACTTACTATATATGCCAATACTATCGGAATTGGGCTGCCAGTAAAATGTCTCAATCGGTGGCCATTGGGAAACCAGTAACCAGTCTATGGAAATGGGAATGGGAATGGGAATGGAAATGAGAATGCTGGCTGCCGCCAAGGTTGTCTGGCCATTATAAAAGTCATAATATATTCTTTTAATGAGCTGCCGTCTCTGTTTCGAATGCAACTGGTCTGATTCGTTGTTTGTTTATCTACTTTCAGATACCACAAGTAAACATCGGGCCTGGGCGCCCAACTGAAGAAGGAGAGGGAGAAGTAGCTACAATCCTAGAGCAGAGTGGGATCCCCCACGAAATACAATGACAGAGAATCAGCTGTATCCCATGTCATCGGAATTCTTTGACACCGGCTCCAATAGCAGCAGCAACACACTCAAATACGATCTGTATTCGCTGGGTTCCACTGTTGTGGGTGCGGCCCTGCCCACGTTGACCATTAACACGGGCTATGGCAGCAGCAGCATCAATAGCAACAATAATAACAACAGCAACAACAACAACAGCAGCAGCAGCGGGAGCAACTGCTCCACCAGTACCACAAATACCTGTAATGTAATGCTAAGTACAACGGCCATAACAATACCACGCAGCAGCAATCACAACCAGAGCCATCATCATCCGTATCAGCAGTCGGATTTGCAGACACCACGACATCATCCCAGTCCCCTACACACACTACCCAGCATGACCCACCAGCAGCATCATCTTCAGCAGCAGCAGCAGCAGCAACAGCAACACCAACATAGCCAACAGCAGCAGCAGCAGCAACAGGAGCAGCTGCAGCACTCGCATTTGGCGTTGGGGGAGCTATCGGACTTTGGTCTAGATGCCCTCGATGCCGCTTCTCTTTCACCCACCTTGCTGCAGGATGTAAGCCTAAGTGCAGCTTCTCCACTGAACTCCACTCTCTACAATGGCAACACCAGTGGAGCAGGTAGCAGCAATGGAATCGGATCAGGCGGTGGTGGCTACTTTGCACCCGATATGTCGCACACCCTCAGCCTGAACGTGGTCAGCGAACAGGTTCTGCTCCAGGAAGCCGTTGCCCAAAATGAGTTGCTCTACGAGATGACACCCAACTCGAATGCCATGTGGAGTGATATAAGCAGTGCCATTATACACACCAAACACGAGCCATTCAGCCTGGACGATGACTATATATTTCCCAACGACAAGGCCGAGATCCAGGCGGCCGATTTATCCGATCTAAATGGTGGCGATTTTCTGGATGTCATTGGGAACATTGAGGATTTCTTGCCGCAGACAACAGTCTCTCAAAGTGTCAATTTCCTGCTGTCGCCGCAGACCCACGGACAGGATGCCCTGGTGGCACCGCCCATGGAACTTCTACAGCAGCAACAGCAGCAGCAGCAGCAGAATCAACCAAACCACCAACAGCTGCAGGTGGGCAGCCTGCCGCAGTTGCAAACGCTGCTTACGCTTACACAGCAACAGCAACAGTCGAACAGTTCCTCCACTAGTCCGTATGAGATCTATCATAGCACACCCCAAAAGCCACAGCAGCAGCAGCAGCTCTCCGCCAGTTTTTCTCCGGGCAGCCAGGCCTCCCAATCGCCATTGACCCCACCGCCACCGCCGCACGCTAATCGTCCGCAATACCAGATGGTAAAGTCGCGCAACATGCAGGAACTGATTAAGAAGGGCCTTCCCATGTCCTCGCCACCGGAGCGCTCGATCCTCAGTCAATCTGCAGCATTGAGTCCGGGTGGTAGCAGTGGTTTTGGCAGCTCGGCATCCGGAAATAGTACAAATACCAGTAATCAGGCAGCGGGATCGAGTGTGCGCAAATCCTTTGGCTACCAAAGCGCCGCTGAGAGCTCACAGCTGAGTCGCCTCAGCTCATCGGCTCCCACGCACCTGGGCTTGGAGCACATTTGGATGCGACGTGAGCCGCGGCAGCATTTACTATCCACTGGCTCGCTGGCCGAGGCCGAGAGCTTCTCCTCGTTGAGCACGGGCAGTGTGTTGTCGCCGGATGGCATCGACTTCTCGCAGGACGATGAGGATGACAATTCGAGCGAGAACAGCGATAACTATGATGACTTTAGCAGCGATAACGGACTATCTGGGGATGAGGACGAGACACGCACTTCGACGCCGAATCACTTGTCCAGTAGCAAGGGCAAGGAGCGCTTCTTCTGGCAGTACAATGTCCAGGCCAAGGGACCTAAGGGCAAGAGGCTCGTTTTTCAATCGAAGCTCGAGGATCCGCATGTGTTGAACGAGGTGACAGACCCCGTCTTCAGTCCCACTTGCTCTGTGCGTGGCATCAAGGTCTACAAGGTATATAAAGTGATTTGGAATTAAATATTATATAGATACTTATTTACCTTTCTTTTTTTTTAATTAACAGCACAGCGGTAAGGCCCGCAAGGGAGATGGCAACGATTTGACCCCCAATGCTAGGAAACTGCACAACATTGGCAAGGAACTGGACAAGCTGAGCCGCACCATCAACGACATGACCCCAGTGTCCGAGCTGCCCTTCAATGTGCGCCCAAAGTCGCGCAAGGAGAAGAACAAGCTAGCCTCACGGGCCTGTCGCCTCAAGAAGAAGGCCCAGCACGAGGCCAACAAAATAAAGCTTTTTGGCCTTGAAATTGAACACAGTAAGTTAGCTATGTCACCATATCGTTTAAAAGTAAAAGATAAAGTTTAAAAAATACGTTTTAATAAAACATATTTAAAGTAACATCCATTAAATAATATTAATTCGTATCATTCGAATTGCAGAGCGCCTCATGAATGGCATTGCCGAGCTTAAGCAGGCCTTGGTCGTCAAGAATCGCACCAAGAATCAGGGCGAATCCACCGAGGAGCTGGATCAACAAATTGCACGCATTTACGCCACCGCCTCATGTATGTGTAAACTACCTAATTGTCTAAAATCAAATTACAATTACTTTTCTGATTTCTGCAGCTGGAATTCGCATTGCGGGTGGTTCAACGGATTTCGTTAATAAGGTGCTGGAGAATATGCGCGGTGGCATGCCGAACGGAGGCCTCGAGGAGCTGCGCAAATCGTCGTAGACCAAAAACATAATATGTCAAGCTAACGAACCGCCCATCAAGATTAGTTTTAACGAGTTTAGTCACTTAAATGTCCTAACAACAGTACCAACCATACCCTCACTACCAACCACTAAAAATACATTCTGTGACAGAATGGCAATTGAATACGAAATGGATCAAGTCGGTGGAAGACAAGAAACATATACTTTCAAATTTCAGATCCGACGACGATAAATCGGAATCGCTCGTGAATTATCCTGGCTGAGCCTCCATCCTTCCTCAAAACAAAACTTTTTGTTCAATTGTTCTGCTTGAGTGATATAATATTGATAACCGAGATATAACTGTGATTTAAAGAGCCTGGGCTTTGTATGTTTTGTATGGCTGGAAAAAGAAGATTATATTTTTTACTTTTTTGCGACCACACCGAAACCAGAAAACCAGAGCTAAGCAAACGTAAACAAACGTAAACAAAAGAAAAACAAAATTCATTTTGAAAATGCAACATTAACAAATAGAAAGAAACAAAAACAAAAAACCGAAAAGAAAGAGGCAACCACAAAACTAACTGAGAAGAAAAGTGTAAACTACAAAAATTTTGTTTAGTTATTAAGATTGTTAAGAAACGGAGTGTTGGATGAGCAAATGAATTTGGATGACTTCGCTACAAGTTTTACCTGTTAAACGAATAAGGGCTTAAATTCATTTGATCCGATTGGAAAAGAAGTAATATGGAATGCTAAAAACTATTTAAAATTAAGTTATATACAACTGCGATTTATCTGTTTAAGTTTTTAATGCTATATTAACGCTGCATAATTTGGTTCAATGTTTTAGTCTTAGGTTTTTACATTTAACTCAATCTGGAGAGAGAGCTTTTATATAGAACATATTTACCTACATATTAGATCTATCGGTAATACTAATTGTTTTGGCCCTCATTCAATATATATATTACGGTCTTAGGTTGTCGTTTTTAAGTTTTCCATTTTGTTAAAGCAAGTTTGATTGTTTCCGAAAATGAATGTTTTGCGAAACTTGATTAATTTACTTATATGCTATAACTATCTTTATATATACATACATGCGTGGTGATATAATTTTAATTTCTCTTTTTATGCTTTTATTTCTGGATGTTATTTTTAGATTTGATTCATGCTTGAACTCTATAACTGAGAATGAAATAATTTTAAGTTTTTCTATTATCCCTACGATTTGCTTATATGAAATACCTTCAATATAAAACATAATTTATTAATTTTTAGGCACACATGAAAACATTTTAAAGGCTTCAGTTTTACTTTTCACTTACGGGCTACTCCAAAAAAAATATAAGAAAACACCAAACAAAAAGTAATACAACTTTGAGTTTTATTCTAATTTGCATTATCGAAAAGAATAATTTTGCTCTGCTTCGATGCTAATTTTGTGATATTTGTATTCAAATTTTCTTTGTTGTGTAGTTCTTTGGGGCGGGTTTCTCCTCATATGCGTTTTATTTTCCATTTACTATTTGTAGCCTTTCTTACTGCTATTTGTTGCTTAACGTGTTGTGTTCAATTGATATCAAAAGAATTAACTTTCGAAAGGAAAACTACATTCTAACTGAGGGAAACAAAAACAGATCGAGAATGAGAACGAAACTACAAAATACAAAAGTGATTCAAGTTAAAAACTTAGAACTTAGGTACTCGTATCACCCACAGCGATGAACACGTGAACATAACAAATTGTAGTTGTTAACCTAGGCTTAAACAAATATAAAAAAGAACCGATTGAGCGCACATAAATTTAAATCAACACACAAAATTGGCCATCAGTTTTTAGGGTTTTCAAATTCATGTCTTGGGAGCTTAACCTCATTACATAAGTGATAAGAATTCAAAATTAAAATGTAGAACTTTAGAAATACATCGGGCATGTGGATACCCCATATATATACACTCACACACAAAGTACAAGCGAAAGCAAAAATACAGAGTATGTATGCAATATGCATATATCATATTTAAGTCAGGTGCTTAGGATTTAGGTTGGCTTTGTGTAAAAAGTATCGAGTAAAGCAAACAGAATTCAAGGCGAAGCAGCATTGAAATAAGCACGACAGTTCCTCAGTGTTTAATATTGTATAATTAACATATTAAATATATATTAAAAACAAAAAATGTATACCTAAATGTTACGGATATTGTAAATGTGTGTGCTTTATATAAATGTGCTTCAGAGAAAACAACTTTTATATACATAACGAAACTAAGCAAACTACCTCAAAACACGATGAAAAAGAAGTTCAAGTTTCATATTCGGTAGAGAAGCAGAAGAATAACGATTTGAAAAGTAAATATAATTTATATAAATATATAAAAACCAAGAGCCTGATTCATGTGTCCATTTAAAGCATATATATCTATATTAATAACAGTGCATAATAATGTATTTTCAAATTCTTTAAAATTAGGAATGATACGACAAAAAAAAAACAAATTCAAATTAGATAGTTTTTCGGTCCCCCGAATAGTTAACGCACTTGATTTAGCTGCGGAGAACAGACAACGAAACTCAAGTACCATTAACAAGTGCGTTTTCAGAACCAAAAAACGGAAAAGAAATTAAAATGACACAAATTATGAATAAAAAATTATAAAAACAAAACAACTGTGTTGAAAATTGAAAATTTTGTATGCATATGCATTAAGCAAAAATTAAAGGAAAGCTAAAACATAAATATTATGTCTAAATAAACAGATGTATGTACAACAATGGAAAAATTGTCTATATATTACAATTACAAAATACATACCAAATTGATAACATATTGATGAAATAAAATAAACAATGCGAAAGCGGAAAAACGAAATAATGTCTTCAGTTAATTTTTCTTCCAAAGGTGTGCAAAAAAATGTGGAACGCTTCACGATTTTGCGTGTCATCCTTGCGCAGGGGCCATGCTAATCTTCTCTGTATCGTTCCAATTTTAGTATATGTTCTGCCGAAGCAAGAACGAAGTTCAAACGAAAAAGCGCCTATATATACGAACATATCAATGAAAACGAACTTGAGAATTATAAAAATCTATATACCTTGCTAGCGCCCCCTTGCGGTGGTATTTCAAAAGTTTCGCTATTTAACTAAACTAGATGGCGCTCTATTTTTTTTTATACATCAAATGTCAAATAATTGTAGAATTCGCAAATAAATTAAAGATAGAAAGTATAATGAGAGGAATATTTAAGGCAGTTTTTAATTTAATTTGTATTTGCCTAATTTTTGTAAAACCTATTGTTTTTTGAACTGAAAACATTAATTAATTATCAGTTTAAAAAATTAAGAAATAAAGATTTCAATAGAAGAAAACAATTAGCGCTCTTTAAACACTTTTCACAGTCAATTGCTAACAAATAAATATATCAAGCAAATTTATTTTAAAATTATGAATCTGCGAGATATCTGCTTGAAATATTCTATAAAATTTGCATTAAGGATACATTGTCGAGTATACAAAACCATTTCAAATTATTTTTGTACTGGAAAAAATGGTTTAATATGATTACAAACAACGCCAAGTTGATGAACGTTCGTGATTTGCGATAATGTCTTAAATGTTTATACGCATTACAAAATAATTTTGAACTTTTTCGAACCCACAAACTATTAAATAAATATTAAAATATAGTTAATGGTATTGCGAGATACCCTCTGCCTAAAATATTTATGGAAAGTAAATGTAAAAGACCCATACAAAAAAATGTGGAACGCTTCACGATTTTGCGTGTCATCCTTGCGCAGGGGCCATGCTAATCTTCTCTGTATCGTTCCAATTTTAGTATATGTTCTGCCGAAGCAAGAACAAAGTAGGGTTGAAAAACTACATATTTATACAACGGATTTAAAGAAAACGTAGTTGAGAATTTTAACAATGGGTACGCGGCTTAAAGCCGACTTGAATTTAAGCGGTTCGAATAAAGTATTCAGAACAACAAATATTTAATCTTTGATATACTAATTAAATAAAAACCAAAAAAGTATTTTTTATTTGAAAACACAGTTTGTTTTATTTGACTACAATAAATTGATAGTTTTAAATATAGAGGCACGACTAAGAGAGTTTTGCTTGGTTTTGGTTAAGGGCAACTGAGACCAACCAAGCCTATTCCAAATGAAGTATACAATACACATAACAAATACAAAAGGCTTTAAGTGCGATTGGTAAAAAAGTGTTAAGTTGTTCTTGAGTTGATTGTGCTGTAATGAGACTCGGCATTCGTTCGACCTCGGATATCCTAATCGTGCCGTATTTCAGGCTGCAAGTCGAACCAAGAATTCAAGCCAGCTGGTGTGGTAATCTCGGGATCATCTAGAGGTAATTTCAGCTGAAAGTAAATAAAATAAAACGAATGTTAAGGCAGCAAAAAAATGTGGAACGCTTCACGATTTTGCGTGTCATCCTTGCGCAGGGGCCATGCTAATCTTCTCTGTATCGTTCCAATTTTAGTATATGTTCTGCCGAAGCAAGAACGAAGTTCAACCGAGTACCTTTCCTATTTATATGCAGGCCATGCAGAACAAGGACTTGGGAATTACAGCAATGCGAGAATCCTTCGGGACTCTCAATGTTAGGGGTTGCTTTTGGGTGCTTACCATGCCAATGATGGGACTGCCGCCGGATAAAAATCCCTTTTGAGTGCACACCGTCACCTCGAGTTCCGTCTGCCTGAGCTCGGCTATGGAAATCAGGTACTCAAAGGAGGCATCGTAAACTGGATTGCAGTTGTCCTTGATCACGCCAGTCTTCCGTTTCGACTCCTTACTGCGGCCCGGCAGCAGGTAGAGCTTCACATACGGATCGGGGATGTTGGTGGGATCGCGCAACGGAATCTTCTGGATCTTGTGTATGGTCACGTCCAGTTTCTGGCGCTGGGCGCTGTAGCGGATCGACAGCTGCATCCGTCCCAGGCCGTGTTCACCAGGAGACGATGTGGAATCCGGGAAGCGATGGGTAAGCACGGAGGCGGCCAGTTCGCTGATGGGCTTTTCGCTGGAGGTAGACTGCGACATGGCAGGGGAGACTTTTGTAACCACCACAGAATCCTCCTCACTGATGGGCGATTCGGCGGACAAACGCTTGCTGGTTACCTGGGATTCCTGGAGTAAAATAAATAAATACAATATAAAATAATTGCAACTTAACAAATTTATCATTGGTTTTATATGTACTTCTTTTTGTATTTTGACCTAAATATTTTTACCATTATACTTTATGGATACAACTAATATATATTTATTATTTTATTTTATTTAATATGATATTGTTGTGGTTTGTTGTATTGAAAAGTATTTTAAATCTTAAAAATATATGCATTAATTAAATGATTAGATTAAATAATGTATTAAAGAAAATCTTTATATTAAAAAAAAGATAAAACCAAATAAAAATGAAAACAAAAATAAGAATCATCGATTCTCCCCGACGGGGAATTGAACCCCGGTCTCCCGCGTGACAGGCGGGGATACTAACCACTATACTATCGAGGACGTTGAAAAAAAACGAGCTAAATTGATTCGATGGCAACGAACTATTTACCTTTAAGAGGTCTAAGATATAGGGTTATTTATTTTTAAAACCTATAAATGCTGGCTCAATATTATCAAAATTTAAGGCAGCACTTTAGTAAGGGTCAATTAAGATATGGATGAATTGACATACCTTAAATGCTGGCGGTGCCACAGCAGCCACATCTGGCGTTTTAACAGAACTGCTGCGCGTGAGGGCCGCCACCTGTTCCAAAGCATCCGATTCCTTGTCAATTTCACCCGGCTGCAGTATCCGCAATGAGAGCGACATAAAGAGCTTCGATTCCGGACCAGATTTTTGCAGCTGGAAGGGTTGCTGGATCACCTCCATGTTGAACTGTTTGAGCAGAGTGCTCAGGGAGTAGGTGTATTGACCGATATCGTTTCCGGTCTTCTGGTCGTAGATCTTAATGATCAGGCTCTCGTTATCGGGATTGTTGACCAGAAAGGTGAAGCCCTGCTCCCAAACGGGAGAATCATCCCGCATTATCATGGCAGTCTGCTGTTTCTGTTTGTTAACACTGCACACCAGATAAGGGTCGGGCTTTGAGCTGGACCGAGCTTGCTGTTGGTGGAGATTTAATTTTAATAAATATAATACAATAATAAATTATTGAGAAACCCACTTTTAAATGCCGGGCAGAATCGATAAAAACGCTGAGAACCGCCGAGCTCATGGTGGTCACACGTAGTAGTTGAGTTTCCAGAAGCATCTGCTGAAGATCATTGGGATTGGCAGTGAGTTTATACCACTGCAGACGGACATGAAGCAGTCCGTGCTTGGCATCTTCCAAGGTTAGCCACTGTGTGATAAATCAAAGGAGCTACTAGGATATAGACGGAAAATCTCGCTTTACTTACACTATCCACAACGCCTTTCTTGATAACACTGGCAATGTCGATGCTGGCTCTATTTTGGGTAGGTAAAATAAGGAATTAGTTTATGGAAACATAAAATTTAAATCAATTAAAATCAAACGATAAAAAAAAACTGTTCAAATGTAAGCGGAACCCCTTTAAAATCAAACTGGTTTGGGTATCTTGTTCTAAGTTCTTGGGATGTAAGTGTGTCACATCTTTTGTAGTGGGTGCTCGTTCGTGTTCAATCAATCAATCAATAGATGGTTGCCTAACCTGCCGAGCGACTCGTCATCACTAGTGCGGTCCCAGTCAAAAAGTCTGAGCACGAGTATGGCATGCTGCGAGACCTCGACCACAGCCTGCTCCATTCATCGTTCGAACCAAAAGCAGGGTAAAAGACATTTTCGTATTATTAATTGTTAGTTTTGGCGCAAAATCTACATAAACTATAGTCTCAACGGGAGTTATTTACATGGTCCAATTTAACTACAGAAATTGGTCATTGGCATGCTGGTGGTTCTGGCTTTAATGTGTGTCTGTGGTTCAAAGTGCTCCAGCCTCTGCTTGTGGGTCAAAAACAAGTGTCAAAGGGCATGCAAATTTGTTCATTCAAGTCAATTAGTGTCTACTTAGTCGGTTTTGCAAAAGTGATGAGACTATCTTTAGTACTCTTATTTAAGTGCTATATTTTAGATCGATTGCAGATTGATAAACAAGGAATGTAGTTTTATTTACACCACAACAAATAACTACCAAATATCAGTTTTAAGGTCAAATATATTCCTAATACATTAAAAATAACTTAAATTCCAATAAATTATGATATTAATATACCAGCAAAGAGTTTTTTAAAGGTATGTTTTCGTTTTTTGAGTAAAATATCTACGAAGATTTGTTATATTTTTAGTGATTGGTAAATTATGTTAATATACAAAATTTACGGTTGTCTTTAAGGTTTAGCATATAAGTTCCAAAATGTTATATTTCAAACAATTTATATTCCAACCAAGTTATTTAGGTCATCTGAATTTCCAAATTACTTTTTCATTGGCTTATATTTCATCACGTTGCTATGTTTTCTCAGTGCTTGTTAGTAAACGTATTCAGAAGGTAAATAAAAATCAAGAAACACGAAAAACCAAGAGAGAACAAACAAACGAATTGTGAATGCAGTTTCATGCGGCAATACAACCTGCCCAATACATCATCGCTCTGTACACCTGGCATTGTCTGATCATAGTCCCACAAAGAAAACCCAATATAGTGGCCTATGGTGGTAAAAATACACGCCTAGAAAAACAAATGTGTGAGTGTTTCGGGTGGTAGAAAGTAGAGAAAAGAGTATTTAATCCATAGAGCAGAGCGAAACGAAACGGAAAGCGAAAAAAGCAGGGAATATAGCCTGTCAATTCTCAGTTTGGGCGGCGTCATGCAAAAAGAGCTCTCAATTCAATCAACAAACATTACTCACTGGGGTTTCAAAGGGGTGCAGTTGGGTGTTGGTGTGCTAACTCAAAAAAAGAAAAATGAAAATGTTGCTTACCTGCCCAGGTTCTCGTCTTTCTTGGAATCATCAGAGTCCTTCAATTGAATCTCGACAAATTGACCCATTTCAATAAAAACAGTTGCCTGCATTTAGGCGCCAAACAACGTAATCGAGTGATAAAAGAATGGAAAATCAAAATGGAAATAACAGAGAGGCAAAACAACAAACTATGCAAGAATCGGTGGACTTGTGTTGAATTGTATCATGCAGCAATCGATCGACAACATCAGCAGACTACAAAAAGCAACGCATCAAGCTCATGGGATCTCTGGATCCTCGAGGGAATCTCCCAGAGAATACGTACCTCACACCAGTAGTCCCACTTGGGATTCACATTGTTGTCTATAATCTGGGTCTTGAACTCCTGGGCGCCCACATTGATGATGGCATACGGATCGGACTTGCCCTTGCCCAGCACACTAATGTCCTTCTTCATCAGATCCTTGGCCTCAACCACGTGAATGCGCAAGATGCCCTTAAATATAATTATTTTGTATTCATTATTATCAACTACTCAAAAATCTTTTATAAATAGATTATCCTTAAATTGTGATCACTTTAGCGTTATTATCCTTATCCTTATGTGCAAAATGTATATTATTCTTAACCCACCTCTGGTTCGGGCATCTTCAAAGCCACCGCCGAAACTTCTTCGCTAAGTGAAATGGGCAGTTTATTGGGCAACACCATCACATTGCCAATCTGCTCCACAATGATCCTTCTTAGTAAATCGCTCAGTCCCGGCATGTCCATGAAATCGATCACTCCCACCAAATTGAAGTCGATATTCGGATTGTTTAGGAAGAAAATCTGCAGTCCACCAACCAGAGGCATCGATCGGATCAAAGGCTTCATCACAACTCGCACCCAACCATGGATCTGGAAGTCCTTGATACCACCCTTCATACCACCCAAATAGAAATTGATGTCGCAATCGCTGGCATAAAACAGATCCAGATCCATGATGATCTCATTGCGATCCACATTCTTGTCGTAGATTTTCACACCTCCAATGCGAGGTGGAATGGTGCCCAGAATTATCCGATCGAACCGGAATCCATTCATCTTGTAGTTAGCCAGGGCCAGTGCCACATTGGGTTCAATTGTTTCCTTCACCAAAGTGCGAGCAAAGTGATTGGCATTCGGCCACACTTGCTTCAGTATCTGCAAATAGAATATAAAATCGGTTGTAGCATTATGTAATTCTTAATCTAAGTAACGAATGTAATATTTGGATTCCTTAAATTATTAGTGATTTTAAAATTCAAGCTAAATAGTGCAAGGTGTTTACTCAAAAACGAAAACTCTCCTTCCTGTATTTCATCAAAAGCATTTTTATCAAATTATTATTTTATTAGCTTTATTTACTTAATATGTTATTATATAATTTTAAGTATTTAAAGTATTAGTTTTTATTTTTGATTAAATTATTGAAAATCATACCTTATTCAGCCACTCGCATCGCTCCACGTCGGGGAAGTATACCCAGGCGGGCAGCTCGTCGATTCTGGCCAGGATCACATCCTTTTCGGAGGCCGTGGCCGAGGCCTTGGCGATGTCGCGCTTCTTCTCCGAGGTCTTGGCCAATTGGTCACGGGCCACCGAGAGGATGACCGGAGCTATCAGCCAGGCCACCGACCAGCCCATGTAGCCGACCAGATAGATTGAACCAACGATGGCCACCTTCTTGCCCAGCGTGTAGAAGACGGAGAAAATGCTGTTATCATCGCCGGCAGGTTTTGTGGCCACCACCGTTGAGTTGCCATTTGCCGCCTGGGTGGGCGTGCCGTTGCCGGTGGGCGTGGCAGGCGAAGCAGGCGCCACCACTGGGCTTTCGCTCATCTTTTTGGGCTCCACCAGGGGCACAAAGGGTTCGTCCGCAGTGGGATCGGGTGGGTTTATGAACTCCGCCAAGGGCACCGACGGGCTGCTATCGCTGCAAAAGATGAACGAACACGATTATGAGCATCTCTACCAGATATTTCCGATTGTAAAGCTCACAGCAGCTGACTCATTAGCGTTTGCCGGCTAAGATGCCGGCGTCAAACTCAATGCTCATGATAATGATGATGTCATACTATATTGTGCTATTAGCTAGCAATGTGATCTTGGAATGCCTCGCTGCCTCTCTACACTCCATATACTCTCCATAATATACAATATACCTACAAACGTTTACGAACACTTTGTTTATTTACGTAGCTTAATTTTTCATTTCTTTAATAGAGTCTCGCATTGCTCATACGACAAGTGGGTGGGGTAAATTGACACCGTTTTGCGAGTTTTCTGGTGGCGCTCACCACCCACCGAGTTACCTGTTGAGTGGATACACAAAATAGCTTTCATTTCCATCAAGGGTAGCTCAACTTGTTTGCCAAGTTTGTATTACACATAAGAAAGCATTAGAGTATCAAGTGACCTGGTTTAAGTTGATTAAAGAGAACTTTTGTAGTTTTTGTCTTTCGCATTGTTTTCTTTTTTCTTACAAATTCAAGAAAGAATCCCAGCCTACTTAGCTAAACAATATATTGTCCCTTTTTTATACACACAAAATTAAAATTTAAGTTTAACTTCACAACTTTGTAATGCTTGATGGTGAATTGACTTGTTATATTAACGAATTCCTGCTAAATTATATAGTTCCTAAATTTTCAGTATTCCAAGTGTATTCTTCATTTTCAATGAACTTTTCTTGTATTTTTCCGTCTCTTTTAATTATTCAACGCTTAGCAGCTGTTGACTTTATTCAAATTTCCCAGAACATTTCTCATTGTTTACCTTTCATTCTATTTTATGCGGTGGCTTTGGGGACTCATTATAATATAGCCGTAATTTTCTTTTAGCAGCACATACAAATTTTATGTGTAACCTTGACTTGAATAATCGGCCAAACCAAACTTTTCAAGAGATTTACAACCTCAGCGTTTTACGCTTTGTTTGCTGTTTACAACAAAGGAGACCAAAAATTTTCACTAAGCTGAATTCTTGAAGTGGCAAAAAGAGGGGATTTGCTCGCTGACAAGCAGGGTGGCCCTCTCCGGTTACGAGTTTGCTAATTCAACTTTAACTGCTGGGGAATTGCTACATTCTGTTCCGTTCGGAGCTGCTGGGCACCTGTTGAATCGCCACCGACCTTCTGCCCCAAAAGGCATCCAAAATATACATATATATATAAAGTATCGTGTATATGGGAGGAGAGTAAGCGTAAAACCCGAATACGAGAGAGGGTCTTAATTCTAGACTGGCTGCCAAAGCTTGGCTGCCTTCAAAAAGATGGGTAGACTTCCCATTGCCAAGAACTTGAACTGAACACGGTTTTTATTTTTGTTTTGCTCAAATTCTTGAATTTTTTTTTGCTGTTCAGGTTTCGGGGCGATGACGTAGTCACGATATGTTGTTACTTTATATGTGCGGAATACTTGAGTGCCTCATGTCTTTTGTATCATGTAAATGTGCTTAAATAAATGGTAAATAAATAAATTAATTGTTGCATCACCTCATCGTTTAAGTTCTGGTCTCACTTGTGGTGTGTATATGCAGAGTGTAGGTTATTTATGATGTTTGGTGTTGGGAGAAATATGTGTGCATCTGAAATAAAGAGTTGGTGCTCAATTAAAAGTGCAGCTATCGAGATGGTTTTATGGCTAAATTAAAAGTCACTTCCAGTTCTTATTTATGTCTTTTCATTTGCATTTTATATATAAAAGCCTTTTCGGCTTTTTACTTTGCTATAAATAGTCCAACATTTTTTATTTTGAATCTTTGAATTTCTGCGTTTGCTCTTATAGCACAAACGGTTTTTGAACACATTTGCAGCTTTTGCAATTATTTTAAAATTATGCATTTATCTGTACATATTTAGATAGCTTGTCTGAGCTAAAATTCCTTTCATTTAATATTCACACACAAAAACCACACCGAACAGAAAGCCAACTAAATACGTATTTGCATATATATTGAGGGGCGAATATAGCTCAGGGCGTCGAGAATGTTTTTTGTATATTTTTATCAAGTTCTATTTTCCGCAGTAAACAAATGGGTTTTTCAAAAACACAACCGGATTCCGATTACACATCAAACCAGGCATAATAAAGTGATTATACGCACCGAGAGTACGAAACAAATTCTTTATAGACCTGATTACTTCACTTTGCCTCTGTTTTTTTCAAATTTCTATAACGAACGGAGCGAATTCAGCGACTTTTCATTGTGAGCGGCGTTTCGGAACTAAATTGAATTGAATTCAATTCGCGGAGCATCAGCCACTAGAAGAAGTCTCGCGAGTCGGGGGCTTTGAGTCAAAGCTCCAATTTTGAGTGGAAGCTATGTTGACGCAGCAGCCGTCAAATCAGCAGCACTGCGGGATTCTTGGCGCCATCAGAGGGTCCTGGACGAAGGCACTAGACAGCAAGGTTGAGCTTACAGAAGGACCTCTTTGTTCGGCAATTAATTTGAATATTAATGAGCAACTAGAGCACAGTATCAGGGCGTGAGGATTACTTGCTTTTGTTCAGTCGAAGCCTAACCAAAGTTTGGCTGCAGTTGTAATGGATTGACAACCATAATGATTAATTATGAAATAATTTGTACAAAGGGACTGCAAAACATTCTCTAATTTCTTGGTCACAATGATAAATGAAATGAGTAGTCGACAAGTTTTGCCTACCTTTGAGCTCTTTAGAAACTTTTGATTGTGTGTTCTCTAAAGATACGATTAAATTAGCTATTTATTTTAATTTAAATTTGTTTGCTACTTTCTTCTTGTAAAAAATAGTGGTAGACAAACTTGTATGCTCTATATACCTTTCTTTTTTTTAAGTTACGAAAGTAATGACATTTTACAAACAACTTTTAAAAAGATTTATTTTGTTTTCGATAATTTCCTACCTGCTCTCATTTGTTGCTCAGTGTAATTGGATTGATTGTCCTTGGTCCTGGGTCAAGGGGTAATTGTTGCTGTTAGCCGCCTGCTTTTTCTGGCTGACTCACTTGCAAATGAGATAAAATCTATGCTGTGTTGAGTAATTAGCGCCACAGTTTGGGAGGCACTGCGAATGACGCACACGGGCGTAATAAACCCTGGGAAGTGTGCAGCCGTGAATAAGGATTAAGCGGCATTTTTTTGTTTGCTCGGATGTTTGTACGATCTCGCTCTGTTTTTCATAAATATCAAATGGCTTGCGGAACACATGGCGTTTGTGTAATAATCATGGCATATGCATTTTTAATGGTTCGATGTGAAATCGAAAAGGTAAACAAAAGCGAGAGGGAGTGTCGGCGGAACTGAACTGAACCACGAAAAAGCGCAAGGCAAAAGCAAACAAAGTCTGTCCGGGAAAAAGGACGTACTTGAACATGGCCTTCAACACTCAACTACACACATCCATCCACCACTCACACGCTCGCACGCACACCGATGCACACATTGTCTGGCTGCAGGACATGCAGGGAAGCAGAAGAACTCTGCTGAAGGACGCGGGCAGCCTGCAGTCAAATGGAGCCAGCGGATGCCGGATGTGGATCCCCGTGTCCTGTCCTGACACAGAGAAAATATACCCGCAAAATTCTGCCAATTTCTGGGACAAAAATATCTCCTGCCAGAGGCACATTGCTTGGATTCATTGGATTTAAAAATATCCTTTTGCTTTTCCACCCTCCAATTTATTAGCTTCCACTTGAAAAGCAACATAATATTTAAACCCATTTAATGCGCTATAATTATTGATTTAAAATTATGAATGTTATAAAATGATGTTGAAATTGGCTAAAAAAATAACTATATCAGAGCCCTTGAAAGGTCAAATACATAATAAACACATTTAAAAACAGGTAGTTCTTTTTATAAGAGATAAATGTTCGCTGTGTAATTGTTATTCAAGTAAGAATCAACGGAAGTTAGTTTCTCCTTTCCGGTGCAACACACATACGTATTTCTGGATTAATGACACAATGGAGCCTTAGGGAAATTTTGTGAATTTGCCAGGCACATCCTGCATCCTTTTGAGTAAAGAAACATTCATACACACGTGTATTCGTTTAATTGCCTCTTTAATATTTTATGCTACTTTCTTTGATTTTCCTCAAACTTGGGTAGGTTCCTTTGAGGTTTTTCAACTCTGAACCCACTTGTGGGGGCGTGGCAGATATTTTGGCGGACTGGTAATACAACTTTCCCTCAGCAACGTGCCATAAAACTTAATTCAAAGCTAAATTGTGACAATTCTCGGAAGGTAATCGAGGTCACACGATGACAGCGCCTTGACTTTATTGAGCGAACAATGTAAACAAATTGGAAATATTCTTTTTAGCTTTCGTGTAGCATCGCTGTCGATTGCAAGAAAATTGCGTCACATCGCCTTTGATTTATGGAGCGGCTTCAGTCGACCAAAACGAGGGAAACCGGGGAAACCTGGCCACTGAAGGTAGCTTTGAAATGAAGCAGGTCAGTCGGACATAAGCACACGGGACAAAATGTTTTACAAAATTTGGATTTCCTTTAGTTTTTTCATATTTTATCCATTTCATTTTCAAGTTGCAATAATTTGCATAGTTTTGAACACATTTTTAGGTTCTCAGATGTAGTTTTTCATCTGTGTATCGGAAGCAACATTGATTACAGACAAATGTCTTTGATACATTGACGCAAACATTAAATGAGGTCAGTATTGAATTAGAGTCAAGGGGGAATTCAAGGTTTCCACAGATGGTAATTCAATCAGAAACACTCAATTTAAACTTGCTTTAACATAGTTGTTTAATATGCAGTGCTTTTAAAAGATTTTCAGCAAACACTCTAATCATTCGTGTGTAACTCGGACGAACGCTTTTTAGCCTTTCCTACTATTCAGGTAACTTTATCCACAAAGCCGAATGTGTGGGACTTCCAAGAAGGCCTTAAAGCGTATTTTCGCCTGGCATGTCAAACTTTTCTTTTGACTACGTTTGGTTAGCCGAAAAAGACCTTTAGCCGAGTTGTTATATGCAGATGATGTTAACGTAAAGCGGCCTCGGGGATACACATAAAACAACCGACATGAGAGCCAGGCCACCGCACTTTTCTGCAAATGAAAGTTTCGCCACCCAACTTTCGTCCATTGAATTATCCTCAATTCAAAGCATGTTCCGGACCTTGTGTTTTTCCCCATAATCCAAATCCATTATTGGGCTTTAATATCAGCCGAAGCCAACGCTGACATTAACAGTACTGACCACAACTGGGCATCTAAGTACAATTGGAATGCTTCGCCTTATGAATTATACACAAGTTTGTTTCTATTTTTTGTTGGCCTGAAATGCCGACAGCTCCTACACCAAAGTGAAGAAACACGCACGGAAATCGTTGATTGAGGCAATAAAAAGAAAAACAAAGGAAGCCAGAAAAGGGAGCCGATTATTAATGAGGCTTAGTTGGGTCAAAGGATACAATGTCAAGGATTCTTTTTAGGAAAACTTGCTGTGGGCAACTTCTTTTAAAAATACTACTTCAGCTTAAGAATTCGTTATTCATGGCTCATAAAATCTAGTGTTGTGAACGATTTCTAGATCGCTTTTTATTGTTCAGTTGGTATAATTTGGCCATCAGTACAGTTTGGTCATTTTATTACCTTATAAACATTTTCTCAATGTAATGTAAGAAATGTTAGTACATTTATAAAACAACGTCAGTAAAATGTCTGTGTGGCAACCAAACTATCTTTCTAATTAAACATTTCCTTTAGCATACGGGTAGGAGAATAATACCGCACGTTTACATTAAACATGCAGTGTTAATCTATCTTTCTAATTAAAATATTTGTTGTATTATACGGGCAGGATAAAACCGAGGAAAATTCAACTAAAACACGACAACCCCGTTCCCCGGAGCATATAAAACGTTCCACTTTGCGGGAGAAACTTAACCTAAACGAAAATCCTAAATTTTTTCTTTCGCCTAACTCGTCACCAGCTGCAAGGTCTCTTTTATAGTAAATGTGTGTGCGTTTGCGAGTGGCTAACCACAACCACAGGACCCAGAGCCGCCTTAATGTGTCCACATTTTAATTACCCTTGATGTCGAGTGCGAAAGGCTGCCACCGAAAAGTATAGGATTAACAAGAACAACAACAACGGATGAGAAAAAAAGTTGAAGGCTTCATGGAAACGTGCTGGCTTTCATAAATATTTCAAATGCCCACCAAGTCAGCTTTGCCAGCCCCTTCTTCACCTCTGACAGCTCTTTCTGTCACTTGACACTGCGTTTTATACTTTTTTTTGCAAATTTGCCTGGGACAACGTGCCGTATGAGTAATTTACATGCTTCAAGTTGAATGGAACCGATGGGAGAGTCTCTAGAGTCGCGATAAGAGCCAAACCTTTTCGCAGGTGGACTTTTGGAAGTCGCCACTTAGGACTTTTGCATTTGTAATGCCACACACAAAAAAAATACAGTGCCGCAAAACTTTAGTTCAAAAAATTAAATGACATATTTTTTATGATTTTTTTGTTATTGTTTTTAAAATTTGTATTTTAAATATAAGTTTAATTTTATTTAAATCCAAAAGTAAATTTCCTTTTTGTCCGTTACTATCACCTCCTTAGAATTTTTGCCTTTGCGTAGTTTGAGAGTCACTTGCCTTTTTGTCAGCAATGTCAATGGGTTTCCAAAAATAAAATTTAATTGTTCGTCCTCTTTGTATATCCGCTTACTTTCTTTTATTGCGGAATTCTTTGGCCCGGCACTCAGGTCGGTGTATTGATTCGGAAAAGTCGCGCGCGAATTTTCTTCACAGCACTTTGGAAAAACATGCGATTGGGTTTTCACATTATCCGTATGAAGTGTCCCGTTGTACGTGAGTCGCACAACTAAAAGTGTGGTAACTGAAAGCAAAATTCTATTGCCTTCGAAGTAACACTCATACGCAGTGGTTGACCTACATCCTGTAGCACGCTTTTCGAGAGCGCTATTGAGTGCAAGAGAGAGCTTTTGCATGGAGCACAGTAGACAGGCTTTTGTTTACGTTCTCAGCTATTTTTGGCGCCAAAATAGAACAACTGTTGCCGTGTGTGTTTACACAAATTGACAGGAGGTTGTGGGGGGGTGTGTCCTTAATGTGTATGCACAAATGAGTGCTGTGCAGCTGAAAAAAATCTGATTATATAACAAAAACTTGGTGGAATGTAAATTTATTCTGCCTAAAAACCATAACCACATTTAATTAATATATTTTTAAATGAACAGTTTTTTAATTAAATTAATTGGTCTATGAACTTATATTTTACACGTTTATACAAGACATGTAGAAAGCTTGTATTTTTAACTTGCATTTTTGAAGCTTTGGCTCTCTTCCCCTTCTCTCTCTCACAGTTTTTTATTCCCCAATTTGAGGGTGTTTAAACTGACTTTTGTTGATTCTAACTTAGCTAAGCTGGGTTCTATTAGTCGTCTTCATGTCATTTAAACGCTTCGAAAAAAAAATAACAAATTAATAAATTATTGAAGGATTTACTCACTTAAACAAAGTATTGCAATGGACAATTTTTATTAATTAATTCGAAAGTCAATAAAGTTCTTACAATTTAATAAATAACACAAATTTTGTTATAAACTTTGAATTCAACAAAAGGAATAATTCCAATGAACTCCTTTTAAAGTACTGTAAATATGTTTGGTTTTTAAGTTCTCGTAGTATAGTGTAGGAGAGGGGCTTTTTCTCTCTCGATGCCTAGTCGCCTCTCTTTTCCTCTCGCGGCAAATGAGATTCGATTCACGCATTGCTTTAACGCTCACTCCCCCACGGTTGCTCATTCGCTCCCGAACTTTTGAAGAAGGTAGTCGTGTATTGCGTATACGGTCCGTTGGTCCGTTGTGTCAGTGTGCGTAAGTCGGCGTTCTGCACTAGTATTCGTACTATTTCTGCACGTGCTGCTCGCCGCTACCGTTTCGAGTGGTACCAATAATAGACAACAGTAGCGGGAACTAATTAATGCTTCGGTGGTGCCTGTAAGTGCCAATCAATTGATTAATTCCTTTGGTGAACTTAAAAATTTGGAGCCCATTACATTCGCGTAAAAAGTGCCGTATAGTACAATTATATATGCATTGGTGTGATTCTGTGTATGTGTGCCTACTTGGCTCTTTGTTTTCGGTGGTTTTGGTGCACAATGTGCTGTTATGTCGGCGTCTGCTGCAATCACCCTTTGCATTTACGTCATTAACCGTTATTAAAATTATTGTCTGCCATTCTATGTATTATGCCAGTGTGGTTTATTTTCCATATGTAAAACTGCAGTGGAAGGCGATTGGAATGCCGGTTTTCCACCAAACAGCCGCATTTAAATCACCTTTGCTACCACGACCGACCACCAGCAACCACTTGTTTGCCCGTGGGGTCGCCGATACCGCTTCTCGTTAAAATTTGTGTGTGTGTGTACAGCAGTACCGGTAAAAATAAATTAATCACTGTTTTACAATCCGTTTCTACACTTGCATTCACCGAAGTTATCTTTGGGTTGGTGTGGGTCTGTCTGTGTTTATTTAACGTGTTTATAAATTTTGATTTCGTTTGAAAAATTTATGAAACGTAAAACGTCGAAAAAGGTGACACAGTTGTTGCCTCAAAAACCTGTTTAAACAATTGAAAGCACATTAAATATGTCTGTCTAGCTTAAATAATTACAATAAATAATTTGAAGCATAGACTGAGATAAAAAAGTTCTTGTGTAGATAAAAAATGTGGGCCATTTTTTGCTTTTACAGATAATGTTTATCAGTTAAAAACTTTGTAAATAATTTTAATTGCCTTAATTAAAACGCGAAGATGTATAGCTCGAACATTTTTATCTTTTTACGTAAAATCATTGGCGACGTCACAGTAATTAAATTGCCTGCGCCCAAACAATTGAGATCTATTAATTTAAGAATGGGTGAGGCGTTTAAGGGGCGTTGGAAATTTACTTTGCAAGTGGTTTCGATATTACTTCACATTGTGCAACATGGAATATTTCTCGGTCAATCACTTTACTTTAAGTAAGTTTGCTGGAAAAGTTTTAATTCGGAAAGTGAAATTTCCGCTGCAAATAAGTGGGTCATAATATTCACGTCTGGCTTACAACCTCCGAACAAAGAAAGTTCTTAATAAAAAAATACGTGCCAAAATGCCGGTTTCGCTTATCTGAGAAGGTCCCTGGACTTTTGCTTGCCAATTAATAAACATTATGATTATTGTCATACGAAAATGTGCAAATGTCGTGTGCGGCACCAAAATGCGTTTTGATTTACTCTCCTTGTGTCGTACGCTATCAGTTACAGACAAAGCAAATATACCCTGGCATTAAGCTAACGACCGATATCGTGTGAATGACCCTCGTGCAGTCTATTCTGAACAAAGTTCGATCCATGGTTTTTAAGTTTTGTAATAAAAACATAATTAAATATAATATAATATATATAGTACGTGGGGAAATTTGGGGCAAAAACAAACAATGTTTGTTCATTCGCTTGGCAATTTTACTGTTCTAGTTTTTGTTTTGAAGTTTTACTTAAAAATTGGTTTGCTTCCAGTAAATTATGTCAAAAATTAATTAAGTGTCTTAAATTTTTCCATTTTCATCGGTTTTACTCACACGTATCCCTTATCAGACATCCACTAACTATAGGTTTATTCTAAGATTCTTATTCCGAATTGATAAACTTTCTTAATATTGTAAAAATATAAAGATTACTTATTATTGGCCAAGGTCTCCGCTGATAAGAACGTAGCTCTGGCTAGACTAGTCACAATGATGCATTAGCAAAACCATTCATTTAACAATATCATTTGGGCAATGAAATGCGATAAAATACGGTACTCATTGGTTATATTTAAAGCACTTTTGTTTTTAAGGTTTTTTATGCTTCCCTTTAAAACAAAAATAAATAAAATCGTTACAACAGATACTCATCAAATTGAAATGCACAGAGCCATCTAGCAAATGGTCTTAAATGTCTTATATCCAATGCTTACGGTAAAAATAACTTAAACGCGGTCACGTCTTCTTATCTTTAATTAAGCCTATGATATGGAGGATTTCAATGTTTAACATGAGTCTTAATTTGTTTGCGAATGCAGGTAGACGAAGGCTCAGTTATAGAAGGGAGCTACACTCCCATATGATAGCATGGATAGTAGTGCCAAGCCAAAGCGCAAAAACCCGCGCCAGAATGCAAATATAATATCCCAACTGATATTTGCCTGGGCCATACCACTATTGTATCGAGGATCTCGAAGAGGTCTGAATACGGATGACTTGACGGAATGTTTAAAAGATGATCGCTCCGAACAGCTGGGTGATCGTTTAGAAGAGTAAGTATTCTTGTTTTTTTTTGATTAAAAATACTAAGCGATTGAGATTAGCCTATAGACATGTAATTTGTCAAATCTGTTTACGATTATTTTATTAATTGCAATTATGTTTTCAGTCAGTGGTTTAAGGAACTGGAACGATCACATCGCAAGAAACAGAAGCCGCACCTCAGAAACGCTCTGTTTCGTTGCTTTCTGGGACCGACGATTATTAATGGCCTCATTTGCTTAATCTACATAGTGATCAAGTGAGTATGAAATGTAATACTACCCAGCTTATCTGTAAACACTCCTCTGTTTCTAGGACCTTGATTCCAGCTGTTCTTGCTCAGTTGTTGATACAGTTTCAAATCGCTCCTGCTGCGGAAGTCAAAAACATTGCCATCAACGATTTGTCAATATCAGATTCCCTCAATCGAACTGCACGCTCAATTGGAAACTACGTGCTGAGTCAGGCTGTAGCCCACTCCAGTGGATCACCAGGGGATGGTATTTCAAGATCACTTAATCACTATAAGTTCCATCAACTAAGTTCGCTCCTTATTTCAGTTTATTCGCCAAATTCTTTGGACAAGGGAGATCCCCTGAAGGAGCCAATTCAGCCAGCATCTGAAGAAGTGGACCACAATGCCACTCTTGTGCGCAGTGTCCTGGATCAGACCGCCGAGTACGTGTGGAACGACACCTATAGCCTGGGTGTCGTCCTGGTGAGCTCGACGCTCTTCTGCTGCTTTCTGCTGCACCACGTCGATCTGCGGCAACGCCTGATGGGCGCCCGGATGCGAATCGCTTGCTGCTCACTGATCTACCGGAAAACGCTACGCCTCTCGATGAAAACGGCGGGTCAGACGCCGGCTGGTTACCTTATCAACCTGCTGTCGAACGACGTGAATCGCCTGGACTATGGCTTCATATTCATGCATTGGATCTGGATTATGCCGCTACAGGCGGTGCTCACGTGCTACTTGATTTGGCTGAACATTGGCATTCCGGCTCTGGTGGGAGTGATTGGATTGCTGCTGAAAACGGTGCCCGTGCAAACGGCCTTGAGCAAGGTAACCTCAGTGCTGCGGATGAGAATTGCGGAACGAACGGATGAGAGGGTGGGCATCATGAATGAGCTGGTGCAGGGCATTCAGGTTATCAAGATGTACGCCTGGGAGAAACCCTTCCAGGCGGTGGTGGCCGAAGCGCGACGACGCGAAATTCAGCAGATCCGCTATGCATCCTACCTGCGAGGCTTCTACCTCAGCACCATGGTGTTTACGGAGCGATCCACCCTATACATCACCCTGGCAGCGGCTGCTCTCATGGGTCAGACCATTACCGCCGACTTTGTCTTCTCCGCAGCCAGTTACTATAACATCCTGCAATTGGTGGCTGCCATTTGGTATCCCCTTGCTGTGAGTTTCGGAGCTGAAGCCTTGGTCTCTTTGCGCAGGATTCAGGATTTTCTTATGCTTGAGGGACGCGAGGAACGAACTCAAGGACTCACCCACAAAAGAGATCAGGATGGCGGGGACTCTAGAGCCGTAACCCTCAAGGATATCAATGCCAGTTGGGATAATGAGAAGCCCCAGAGGACCCTGCAAAACATTAATCTGCAGATTGAGAAGGGTCAACTGTGCGCTGTGATTGGACCCGTGGGTGCTGGCAAGAGCTCAATCCTGCAGCTTCTGCTGGGCGAACTTCCAGTCATCGATGGCGGTGTAGTGATCCAGGGAGACCTTTCGTATGCCGCCCAGGAACCCTGGCTCTTTACGGGAACGGTGCGGAATAATATCCTGTTTGGCGAGGAGTACGAACGAAAGCGCTACCAGGAGGTGACCCGTTGCTGTGCCCTCTCCACGGATTTCCAGCAGCTCCCCAATGGCGATAAAACCGTTGTGGGTGAACGGGGTGCATCCTTATCCGGAGGTCAACGAGCCCGCATTAGCTTGGCTCGTGCGGTTTACAAACCCGCCTCGATCTATTTAATGGACGATCCGCTTAGTGCCGTGGATGCTCACGTGGGCAGACATCTGTTTGATGAGGTTATTGGACCCCGAGGTCGACTGGCCCAGCTGAAGGCCACTCGTATACTGGTCACCCACCAGGTGCACTTTCTGTCCGAGGCCGATATTATTGTGATCGTGGACCAGGGAAAGATTTTGAGGCAGGGCACCTACCAAGAGCTCATCAACAGTGATTTGGATTTCGCAAAGCTGCTCGAGCGACCCAAGGATGAGGAGGAGGCGGAAAACAGTCGCCGTCAATCATCCCCACTCAGTGGACAATCATTGGAGAGCGACGACGAGGACATACCCTTCATAGATGGCGTAAAAGATGGTTACCAGCAGCTAAAGAAGCAAAGCGGTTCGATTCATGGCAGCAAGTCGGTGAGTTAAGCATCCTCGACAACACCTTTGTGACCTAATCAACGCTTTCCTTCTTCAGTTGGACAGCTCGCAGCTAAACGACGACGAGGTGGATGAGGACGACCTGGCCGAGGCCCAAGCCTCCGGTGGTATATCACCCCGCGTTTGGTACGAGTACTTCCATGCGGGCAGCACCCTCGTGAGCTTCAGTTTCATGGTGTTTGTGATGCTGATGTCCCAGGTGGTGTGCAGCAGCTCGGATTTCTTTGCCAATATTTGGACACAGCAGGAACACCAGCGGTCGCAGGGAGCGACCACCAGTTTCACTACCTTCGAGTGCATGTACATTTACGGGGCTCTGATCATTGCCGTGGTTATCATGACCACGTTTCGCGGATTTCTGTTCTTCAAGATCTGCATGCATGCCTCCAAGGTGCTGCACGATCGAATGTTCGCCTGCATTTTGCATGCCACCATGAGATTCTTTGACACCACTCCCTCCGGAAGGATCCTGAATCGTTTCTCCAAGGACATGGGCGCCATTGATGAGTTGCTTCCGCGCGCCATGATGGACTGCATACAGATCGCCCTGGTCATGTTTGGCATACTGATTGTGATTAGTATAGTGAACCCGGTTCTGATGGCTGCCATGCTGGTGGTGGGTGTGGTGGATGTGCTCATCCTAAAGCTGTACCTGCGACCCTCGCAGGATCTCAAGCGCTTGGAGGGCATCTGCCGCAGTCCAGTGTTCTCCCATCTGAGTGCTTCCCTCACTGGTCTGGCCATCATTCGGTCCCGCCACCTGCAGGATGTGGTGGCCAAGGAGTTTGATTTGCTGCAGGATGTGCACAGTAGCGTTTGGCAGCTCACCATGGCGGTAAACACGGCTTTGGGCTTGTGGCTGGACTGTGTCAGTTGTGTCTTCCTCACTGCAGTCACCTTTAGCTTCATCGTTTCCAATGAATGTAAGTTGGTCGCAAATAGATGATAATTTAATATTGATAAATACATTGGTTTATTTATGCTTTTGCAGCAACATACAGTGGCAACGTAGGTTTGGCCATATCCCAGGCCATGATCCTGACCGGAATGGTGCAGTATGGTGTGCGGCAGGTGGCCGAGTCCTTGCAGCAGATGACCAGCGTGGAGCGTGTCCTGCAATACACCGAACTGGAGCAGGAAGCTGCGTTGAGCGAGAAGACCCCTCCCCAGCAATGGCCCACTCGTGGTCAGGTGGAGTTCCGCAACATGAGCTGTCGCTACGATCCAAATGGATCGCCGGTGCTAAAGAGCCTCAATCTCACCATCGAGGCGGGCTGGAAGGTGGGCATTGTTGGACGCACAGGTGCTGGCAAGTCCTCGCTGATTGGTGCCCTCTTTCGGCTGGCAAACATCGAGGGAGACATACTCATCGACGGCATTGAGACGGGCACCATTTCGTTGGAGATCCTGCGCACCCGCATCTCGATTATACCGCAGGATCCGGTTCTGTTTTCCGCCACCATCCGTTACAACCTGGATCCCTTCGAGCGCTACACGGACGCTGAGCTCTGGAGCGCTTTGGAAGATGTGGAGCTGCGTGGTGCCATTCCCGGCCTTGACTACATGGTCACGGAGAGGGGAAGCAATTTCAGCGTGGGCCAGCGGCAGTTGCTCTGCCTGGCCAGAGCAATTCTCCGAAACAACAAGGTCCTGGTGCTCGACGAGGCCACGGCCAATGTGGATCCACAGTGAGTTTATCTAAGAGTTATTTCGTTACATTGGTTTTATCTTTTATCCATATAATCTTACAGAACTGATGCTCTGATCCAACGCACCATTCGCGTCAAGTTCAAGCAGTGCACGGTTCTCACGGTGGCCCACCGATTGCACACCGTCATGGATTCGGATCGGATTATCGTGATGGATGCGGGCGTGGCCGTGGAGTACGATGTACCTTATCTACTGCTTAAGAAGTCACAAGGACACCTGCGGCAAATGGTCGAGGCCACGGGCGGAGAGGCGGAAGCCCTGAAGAAGACGGCCAGTGATAGTCACAAAAGGAGGCAGAGGGAGCGGGACCAGCGAGATCGTGACGAGGATGATGACACACAGGAGTGAGCATCGGCGACCTAAAACATCCACCGGGAACCGCATTTACCAAAAGCTGGTGCTTATAATGGCTTAAGGATGCCATTTTTGGCTCCCTGAAGGAATGGATCCTTGACCAAAACGAAAGCCGTACCAAAAGAATTTTCTTTCACACACACATTTTATGTTATCCGTGTTTTCGTGTACTTAGTCCAGTTAAGTTTGTAAACGAAAAGTCTAGATGTGCTGCCTTATACGTATTGTACTTAGATATAATCTTTGCCAGGGACACCAGTGTGTTAAATTTGTATAAAATCTTTATTGTAGAGCTTCAGTGAAAAGACATCCCACTTAAAACATGACAAAGAAGATACTTACTTTCTGGTTATAGACTAGAAATGAACACTGCCTTCATTTATGGATCTGTGGCTTATGCTTTACCCAACCACTCATTAGTTAGTTCATCAAATATATTCTGTATATTATTGCAAGTGAAAAAGTGAGTACTTGAAACTCTAGATAGAATAAATAATCGCCGAGTTTATTAAAATATAAAAATGTTCGTATAAATAAATGGATACAATTTTAAATCTACCATATATATTGAGCAAAATTGAAGCGATTGTTTCGATGTTCATTTTTTGGATACATAATTGCAAAGTTATTAAAATATAAACAATTGTCATAAGAATCAATAAAACATTTTAAAAAGCTAAATAAACCAATTTAGCTATATTCATGCCATCATTTCCGAGGTGATCTTCGATGGGATGACCTTGCACCGGACACTATTTGACCTGAGGATTGGCGAGTTTGATTTGTACTCTGTTTGCTTTGTTGTTCATAGGGAATGGGTGGAGTGCCATCCGGATAGTGCACCAGTGAGATGTGGCTCTCACCCGAGAAAAGCTGCGAGCCGAGGCTCTGAACCGAGCCGGATTTGTCCGGAATGGAGAGGAACGATCCCACCGGAGTGGAGGTCTTTTGCCTGTCGTTGGTGGCTCCGGTGGCTCCAGTGGCATGGCTCATTCCCACGCCTGGTGTCTGCGTATTGCTGCTGGGCGAGAGTGAGTGGAGGACAGACTTGAGGAAGTGGCCCCTCAGAGACTCATCTGAGCTCTGTGTAGTTTCGCCGGTGTGCACTTGATTTTTGAGGAGCTCCCGGGTGAGAAAGTCCCTCAGGTTCAACGATCTTCCCAGCTGACTTGCATCCTGCACCCTGGAGTCGTCCTTGGACCTGTGGCTGTGATTCTCACCGCCCCGCAACCTGGAACGACGTTGCCGCCGTTCCGGCGATGAAGTGGTAGTGCTGCTGCACAGCTCATCTGTCTGCTGATCCCTCTGTTGCAATGTGGCCCGCCAGCGGCGACCTCTCCGATCATCGTCGCTGGAGAGGTTACTGCCGGACAGCGGATCGATTCCACTCTCGTTGGGCTGATCGTTGGTTTCCGGGGCGACGCTTTCGCGTCGCGTACTGCTGGCCACCTCCTGCTGGCCCGTCAATGTGGTGTCCGTAGCATTTCCCCGACGAAACGGGCTCTTCAGGATATTTCGCTGACGCAGCTCTTCCTCTACGTTGAAGGAGTCCGACGAATCCTGCTCAATGCTGGCACTGTCTATCAGCTGCCTCTGATCGGCCGGTAGCTTGGCCAGCAATTTCTCCATGTACTCTCTGCGTTTGGGGAAATCCTGTATATTATCATTGACCACCCGCAGCTGACGCATTAGCTCTGCGGGTAACACAGTAGCCTGATCGTGATCCTGACCTATCTCTAGGTGGATTCGGGTGCTGGTCATGTTGTGGAGATAGGCATTTATGCTGGGAAACTCACGGTAGTCAGATCCGACGTTGCGCTGATTGATCACCTGGATCAGTTCGTTGAATTCGCTCTGCAGCCGCTGGCTCTGATCCGCATCCATTCGCGCCAGATCCAACTGTAGCTCCTTGGCATACTGTTCGAAGCTGGGAAACGGCTTGGGCACCGGAGTGGCGGCCACAATGTGCGACTGACCCGGCGTTTCCACTTCCGTGATCGTGGATAGTTCGTGCGCCAGGTCCTCGGCATTCAGCTGGGGACTATACCGTCGGATGGTGGCCGGCGGAGCCTTCATTCGGCCACGGGCCGTGCTGCTCTGCGTGTAGGAGCCCAGCGAAATGGGTTCCGCATCCACATTCACCTGTCCCTGGGCCGTAATTGGACGCGAGTCCGCGATGCCACTATCCCGGCTGGCCGCTGTGGGCTTATGCTTCTGCAGCGGCAGCGCTTCCGAAGTGGACGGCGTTTGTGAATCGCTGCGATCGGACAAGGTTCTGCATCTGGTTTGTTGCTGTCCCGTTGGGAGGTCAAAATACTCGGTGGACTGCCGCTCGCCATCGCTGTTCGAGGTGAGGGTGACCTCCACCAGTCGCTGCTTCTCCTCCCGCACCTTGGTGATCAGATCCGTCAGCTCGGCAATTCGCTGGGTGCAATTTTCGGTCAGCTGAGCATAGCGCTCCATATGCCGGGCAGATGAATCCTCGCTGGTAGATTGTGATTTTGGTTTATCAGCCTCAAAGCGGGAAGTAGTTTTGCCACTGGTTGGCAGGCTTAAAGATTTGCCGCCAGGACTCTCTTTGCGCTTTGGTTGCGCATTACTTCGCTGCTGATTTTCCCTTTGGTCCAAACCACGAGCATTGTTCTTTTCTTCCTGAGTAGAAACCTTTTGTTTTTCCCGCTGACCATTTTTTCGTTCTCCTTGTGTCGGTATCTTTTCCGTTCTCTGCTCCCTTTCTTTGCATTTTGACTGACAATCTTCAAAATTCTTGGCCAATCGCTTGTTCCAAATCTGATCAAACGCTTGCATACTTCGCTCTTTATCCTGCTGCTCTTTCTGCAATTGCTGTTGGCATCTTATGGAGTCCTCCAAATCGTTGATAAAGCTGCGGTTGTCGGCGATGAAGGTCTGCACCCGCTCCATGCGCTGTTCATTAACCACACATTCATCGTCCCGATCCCGTAGGGTTCCCTCTGTTTCAGCATCGACACAAGGAGATATGTTTCTTGATGAGTTGATGATCGATGCTGAGGGTGTGGTCACGTCCGAGGAACTCACTCCCATTTCCTCTATGTTGTGGCGCGTCATGCCTAGCAGGCGATTAATGTACTGGGCTACAATGGGATGCAGTGGAGCAGGGACAGGAGCTGAGGGTGGAGATGGCATGGAACCCATACACGGATTGAAACTCCGGTAGCTCACTGGAGGCAGACTGCGATAGGCGGTGGAGTTGGAATCTATCGAGTTCTGACGCTGATTCTCTGGCAAAGATCGCTTTCCATTTTCCTTCTTTGACTGTTTCTCTGGTTCCTCTCTGGGCGTGTGTTCCTTGGTGCCCGAAGGCATTTCTTTCTCACATTCGATGGCTCCCGCCATTGTTTTTGCTTTGGATTTACCCCTAGGCACGCATTGCTTCACAGTGCCGTCGCTTTTCACTTTGATGATGATCTCCAATGGCCTATCTTCCTTTACGGATGGTTTTGCCTGATCTCCTTCACTGGATTTTTTGCTCTTCGTCTCTTTGTAAAACTTTCTCAATCGCTGCTCGAGAATAGCCTCCTTCTGCTGCAGGTCCGATTCTCGTTCGTTGAGCGTCTTCGTTCTCTCCGACAGTATGTCCGCCCGCTCCTGGCGTATGGTATTGATCATTTCCTGGGCATTGTCACCCTTCGAACCAACGCCGTCACCCGACTTCAGCTCCTCCAGCAGATGGCCTCGGATTTTTTCGATGCGCTCGAGCAGACTGCGCAATCTCATGGATTTAAGGGAGTTGGATTGCTCTGCCTTCAGGTCCGACCTCAACTGCTTGCTCTGATCATCCACGTAGTCGAGGAGGATGGAGCAGCAGCTCTCAGTGCTGCCCAGATTATCTCGACCCATTTGAACAGGAGGTTCGCCAACATTGATGGCTGTCGCACCATTGGATTGGCTAGGCGTCGTGTTCGACGGAGTGGGTTTGATGCGTACTTCTGGACAGGTGATGATGGCCGGACGGAGCAGCATCTCTTCCATGGCCTCGTTCATTTTCTGCTCTCGTCTGGCAGCCGCATCCGCAAACCGATGGCTTGGTATGATGTTTGCCTGGAAGGGATTAATGTATACATTATATAATCAAGAAAAATCCCTATTTGATTTCCTTACATCACTGGGCAAAAGCTGTGGTTGCTGTTGTGTTAAGGCATCCAACTTCTCGGTCAACTCAGCACAATCCCGGCGCACTTGCTCACGTTCCAAAGCCTTTTGACCCCTATCGTTGCTGATTTTCCTAAAGGAATGTGGATACATTTTATTTAAATAGAACTCAATATTTTTAAGGGCAATTCCAGTTCTCACCTTAGCTTGTCCAGTTCATGCTCCCGCAGATCCCTCAGCTGATTCTCGATGCGGGCATGATCCATGGCGGTCAGTTGGCTGGCATCCTTTTCATTGCATTGCACAGATTGCGTTGATGCATCGTAGGTCCGATGGTATTTATTGCCATGATCGTAGAATTGAACGCGTCCAGATTGAGTCGTCTTTGGATCCTGTCGCGACGACATGACAAAAGTCGTTGTGGAAACGGTGGAGTGGGTGGCAGTGCTTGGCGGAGCAGTCACAGCAGGCACATGAGCTGCTGGCTGGTTAGGTATCATTTGCTGCGGGGGAGCATACATCGGATGAGCTTGTGGATACTGCGGTTGCATGGAAAATGGCATCGAATATGGCATTGCATAGGGCTGCATTGGCTGTTGCGAATAGGGATGCATATACGGCTGGACTTGAGGCACAGGATAACAATGTGTCATCTGAGGATTCGGCATAACTGGCATATTCTGCTCTGGAACGGGTGGTAAGTTGCGAGGAGTTTCCTGTACTGGACATGGCTCCTGTACGCTAGTGACTATAGGCAGCGTAGCTGGATTTTTTCCCTTCTGGCCCCGCCGAATTCCCGCATCTATAACTTTGGCCGGAGCTGGATTGGTTTTCAAAACCGTTCGCTTGGCTGGCTGTTGCTGACGTGATGCTGTGACCGATTTCTTGGGCGATCCTGTGGCTGCTTTGGTGGGTGATTTTCTGACAGCTGCTACGGGGGCAGCTGCCTCAACGCACTCCGCAGTTTTCTTGGGCGAGCGTGGCGGCGATTTGGTGGGACTAGGTGGCGCAGATACTGATGGATGTGGATCTGCAGCGATTCGCTGTCCTGGTTCAGTTCTTATTGTTGTGGTGGTCACGGATTTCCTTACCAGATCGCTGATCTGTGTAAATCTCGGCCGGCGCTGGCCTTCATCCTCACTGGGTCTCACCACATGGCTGAATTTGCGGTTGGTTTGGATGAACCTATCGTTGATTTCCAAACCATCGGGGTGGTTTGTAGTTTCGGAGATTGTCTCATCGATATCCACGTCTAAGATTATGGGAGGAGTCTTTTGAAGACGCCGGTTGCTTTTCGGGCTCTGGCTCAGCAGGATGGAGGCGTCGTCCTCGGAGGATTCGCCATCCTCTTCCTCGGTGGTGGCGCAACCACAGCTAGTGGTCCTTTTGCGTTTTCCCTGGCAGCAGGGTTTGTGGCAACCACTGGCCAGCCGATTCTCTTTTTCCTCCACCATGGCCGTTTGTGTGCCCGCCGTGGCTCGTCCCTCCACATTCAGGTTCATGCCGTTTGTGGCTCGCAGCTCCACAGACGCTTTTACCGATCTTTTCATGGCCTGCTTGCGGCACCTCTGGATTTTCTCGCGTTTCTCCTGTCGCTGCTGCTCGATAAGCTGGTTTTCCTCCCTTGCCGCACGATGGGCGGCGCCCACTTCGAAAATGGCCGAGCGGTAGTCCTGGTGCTTTTTGACCAAAACATGCTCACGCCACGCATTTAGCTCCCTTTGCTTGACCTCCTCCAGTTTGTCGATTTGTCGCTTTTTCTCGGCCGCCACCTCCTCGCGTATTTTGCGTGCCAGGTGGTTGGACTTCTCACGCACCTGGTGGGAAATTGGGTCATGGTTAGGGCCACAATTACTGCGCAATCAGCTTACCTGCTGCAAACGGGTTATGCGACGCTGGCTCTCGAGGTCTTTGCGCACCCGCTCCGGATCCTCTAGACGACTTACGGGCTTCCTCAAGTTGGCCCCGAACTTTCCGTTCACCGTCATCTGCAGAGCCATCTGCTCTAGCAATATTCTACAATATTCATATACGGATAGACGGCAGCATTTACGCACTGGGAATCAAAACAAGTTTGAGCGTAAAATCAAACAACCAACGTCTTCAAAAATTCCTCCATAGCCAAGCGCATTGTGTGACCGCCGATAAATAAGAAAAAATACTAAAGAGCGTCTTTAAAATATACCACTCAGGCAGCATGGACTCAAACCATCGCAGATTTCTGGTAATACACTAAAACCAAAATGTCCTATTTAAATACCGCACAGAAGGAGCAGTATTATATGTTGGTATTTTTAAATATCTTATCGATTCTCTTGTGCAATTATCGGGCGAAAACAGCTGTCGTTGTTTGGATTACGAGATTGTAAATAGATATATTGAAATTTAATTTTGTGGTTGTGAAGTCGGGGAAATATGGCTTTCCTGCTAAGACAAGTGGCCAGGACTGGATTGCAGAGGTAAAATAAGCCTAGAAGTATGCGTAACATCCCTTAAAATAATTGATTTTCCATAGAAATCTGATCCTGATGCGGCACGCCTCCGCCTCCACATCTGCTAATCCCGAGTTGAGTGTCCAGGTGAGCGAGAGTTGCATGAAGCGCCTCCGAGAGATCTGCGTCGACGGATCCTTCCTCCGGGTGACCGTCGAAGGTGGCGGTTGCTCCGGCTTCCAGTACAAGTTTGACTTGGACAAGCAGCTCAACGAGGACGACCGGCAGTTTGGCGAGGAGCAGGCCAAAGTGGTCATCGACAATGTCTCGCTGGAGTACTGCAGTGGAGCCACCGTGGACTACCACAGCGAACTTATACGAGCCGGATTCCGTATGGTGGCCAATCCGCTGGCGGAACAGGGCTGCTCGTGCGGCTCCTCCTTTTCAATCAAATTGTAGTTTAACGTTTAAACTGTAGAGAATTATTTAATACACATATAATGTTCAGTTATATACACGTCGAGGGCGGACAATAACAAAACAGGAGGGAGCGTGCGTTCCCGGTTAGTTATTTTACAATAATATACAGTAAAGCAGCAGGGCGGGACTCGCACCGCACTCCACACTCATTTGCAGGCGGCCAGTTGGTCGCTCAAGCTGATGACCTGCTCCGTGAGCACGCTGATCTGCTCCTCGTAGTTAATACGGGTCGTGGTCTGGAAAAACACTTGTGGATATTAACTGATTAAAAAAATCCAAAGCTAAACCCACCAGCTCCTCTTCGAGCATTTGCAGGGCTCCTCCCAAACTGGCCAGCTGATCGTCCTTGTTCTTAAGCTCGTGCGTCGCGTTCTCCAGACAGTTTTGCAGGTGCTGCGCCTCCAGCTCGTAGGATCGCAGCTTGGACTCAGCCTGCACTTTGAGCCGCATCAGATCCTCGAACTTCTTGCTAAACAGACTGTAGATGAGCTGCTCCTTGGAGGGCGGCTCGGGGGGATCATGCAAGGAGTCACGGGCCCGCTGGCTTCCCTTGACTTCCGGCTCAGCCGGTCGCACCGTCACGCCCGCCGCCGCCGTGCTGCAGCTGCACGCGCTGAGATCCTTGTTGGGGTTCGAGACAAACGCCTGGTGCAGCTTGGCCACCTCGAATTGAGCCCTCCAATGAGCCGCCTCCTTTTCGAGCAAGGCAATTCGATCCTCGGACGTGAGTTGGTTGCTATTCGCCTGCTGCTGGAGATTGTGGAGTGGAGTGTTGTCGCTTCCGGTGGCACTCAGAGCGTCCTCACTGCCCAGCTGGAAAAAAACGATTTAAATATTAAGTTATGATGGTAAGAAATGTCTTGGTTACCAAACTATATAACTGTTAAGCCTAAGTGTTATCCTACATTTCGGTTAAAGATGTGGTCAGGGTAAAGCTATGGTCATTAGTTTAATTAAATGGAAACCTTGAAATCTTATAAAACTACATAGATGGCTATTTGGTCAAGAAGTACACATAGTTTCTTTCATAACCCCTTTGAGATTCGGATCTTACCATGCTGGCCGCGTCCACGAGCTTTGTTTCCAGCTCGCTGTTCCTGTGCTGCAGCGTATCCACCTCCTTTCTGAGTCGCTTTTCAAGCTCGTTCTGGTCGCTGATGCGCTTCTCCAGCTTTTGTTCCAGAAAGGCGATGCGTTCCGTGTGCAACAGAAGATCCTGCTGCTTGTCATCAATCTGTGGAAGGGTTTGACGGTCATACATCTCACCCTTCTACTTGATTGCAATCCCTTTGCCTTACCAATGACGTCAGTTGCGCATTCTCCATGATTTTCTTCTGCAGTTCTTCGAAGATGAGGGCTTCTTGGGCGGCATCCGATGGAGCGTCTGCTTCCTGCCGGTTGTTGCCCTGTAATCCCCGCCTGCCACCGGAATCCTTGTCCTTCTTTTTGGGCTGCTCGTGCAGTGAGATTTCCTGCTGCAGCTGGGAGACACGCGACTCCAGCTGCTTGTTGCGGAAGCCCAGTGAGTCGACTTCCTGCTCCGTGCGCCGCAACGAGGTGGCATACTGCTGCAGTTGCTCCCGCAGACTGGCCTCCTTGGACTGCTCCTCCAGCACCGCCTTCTTCAGCACCGTGGCCTGGGCCCTTAGCTAGTCGGGGTTTATTTCGGGATTAATTTGATTAATGGGCGTTAACTGTTGCTGCCGATTCGGGGGAGCACTAACCTTTGAATATTCTGTGGCCAGTTTCTGGTACTTGGCCTCCGGCACGGTGCCCTCCATGGCAACCGGTTTCTCTGCCATCCAGGCAGGCTCTCTGCAGTCGGGAGGTTTCCGGTGGATGTGTACTTCTGGCTGTTTTTAAATATTTTTAAACAATTTGACCAACAAATAAAGCTGGCATTTCAGTGTGCACGACGCCTTTTCCGCGAAAAATACCGAAACGCCTCGAAAGATTTGCCAGAAAATTATCTCATTTCGAGTCCGCCGCTATTTGGTCACACTTCAATTTTCTAGACATTTATTTAACGGTTTTTTGAAAGAGTTAAAGAAATAAATAATGCAATGCATACTCCCAACAGAAAACAAAGAAACCAATCGTACCGTGAATAAATGCAAGATATTTGCAAGCTTAGTTTAATCAATACTTAACGAAAATGTTCAAAATTTTACCTACGTTTAATTTTTAGTTGACTATATTTTTTATTTGAATGATTTGTTCAAAAATATTTATTTTATTATCTTTACAGTTCAACTTATAAGTTATTAGTTACAGCTTAAGATAGAACTTAGAAAAGAATTTGTCGTTTTAACCTTTACTGATTACTTTCTGAAAAAAAAATTGTTTATTACAAGGCAGCGTAACTTTGAATAATCTTGTTTACAAGCAATAAAAGGGAAGGGAGTAAATAATGATCTAGACGTGCAAAAGGTTAAAACGCTTAACAAACAAAATAAAATTACAAGTAGTTAAACGGCTGTAAGTATTTGATTACATATGACTAAGCTGGAATTCACACTGCTAAAGAGAAATAAATAAGGCCGAGATAAATGTTTTAAGTCCTTTATTAACTAATTAGTAACATAAATTAGGCATTACCTAATAGGTAAGTCGATAAGCACTTAACTTAAGAATATATTATCAAAGGGCACTTTCTCGAACAGTTTATTTGACAACTCCCGAAAGATGAGACCGAAACTCTTGGCATAACCGACCTTCAGCTCATTGAACACCGTCTCCCAGTTTTCGTTAAGAAATCTGTTCATGCCGTCAGAGAGGGTTTTGTCGTTGAAAAGGTTCTCGAAGTTCATGTACACCCTCTTCGGATCGAAAGCCACGCGATAGTCCTTGAGCCGCATATACTTCACACCATCCCGCTCGAAGGGTTCGCCGATCAGGCGATGCTCGATCTTCGTGTTGATCAGGGTGACATTAGCTTTTCCATGGCCAGTAATGGGCAACAGCAGGATGCGGCCAGACATTTCGTAGTCCCCAATCATCTCGATCCGGTCCGTTCGGCTATCACAGATAATCAAGTGCTTCTCGAGATCCGTTCTGAAAGTAAAAGAAGGTTCCATTAAAACAACGATACATAAGTATACAGATAAAAATCACAATTCTTAAAATTATTTATTTATAAATACATTTATTGAGATTTGTAGTATTGCTTATTATATTATCTAGCTTTCGCTGTTTAAAAAAAATATGAAAATAAGTAAAATTACAGACTTTTTACAGTTACATAATAATATCAATAAAAAAAAAAAGATTTTTGTGCTTTACATAATTTAGTTGAGAGACTGTGGAAATATAAAACTTTTCTCATTAATGGAATTTTGTATGTTTTTTAAGATGAGTAATCTGTTAATTTACAGCTATTCAAATCTTAAATTTTTTTTTGTTTAACTTACCTGTACCGCTGGATCTTGCTGGTGGAGATCATGTCGTGCACCTTCACATTCTTCAAGGCCTGGCGCAGATTTATTGGCGCATTGCCGGCGTCTATAACGAGTTTCTTCACGGTCAGCGGCTCGAGGGGCGGGATGCCGAATTCCTTGTTGCCTGCCAACGGATCGGGAAGAATAACCATTAGCCCCTTAATCGCGGCCAAATCAGTGTGATTACCTACCAGGTTTGAGCTGCTGTATCGCCACATTGACGGCATCCACCAGGCACTTGTCGAAGTTCGCATCCCGTTTGCACTTGGGAAAGCCTTCGGCTGCAAAGGTGAGACAGAAATCGGTTAAGTGTCTTGGTCATGACATTGAAATCGCTATCTCGCGGATTGCGGAAGTTCCCTGGCCAGAAACAGCCTGCAATTGGGCCAGCATCAGTGGCCAGAGTTCGTTGGCCACAAAACTTGTTTGTAAACAAAACAAAAGTGTCCACGACAAAAACCAAAAAAAAAAAAAAACACAGAGATAAATATATAAAAGTATATGAGATGAAGCAGTGAGCTAGCATATTTTAGTGGCTCAATGTCAAGTTGAAGCGCACTATGCGAGGGGCCATTTGTCATGAATACATTGAGAAGACAAAGGGGCATTCATGACCTATGTCAACGGTTTCATTAATCAGCCACACTCGGAAAAAAACCGTAGGCCTGCGGAATGTGCAAATTAATTAACATCCAAATCAGTCGGTTACATGTCCTTCTCGGCGATACGCGTAAATTTGTGTCACAAGCGGAAGTGTAAGTGTGAATGTGGATCAGTGGACTGTCTGGAGCGTTAAACTGGACCGGCCAAGAGCAACCTGTTCGCAGACGATGGTTACAATTGCATAACACCTGGGTACAGTAGCCAATGGACGGGGAAAACCCCTAATGCCGCCAACAACTGATCTTAATTGATCTTGACCATTTAGCAACACGCCAATGAAAAGCATAAAATTTGGCTTTTATTGCCTGTTTTTTATTGCTCTCCTCAATTATTCTTGTTTATAATTGCCGCAACTATTAGCTTAAAAATATCCCATTAAGAGCTTCTTAGAAATATTGTTATTTTTTCTCACGACTTACAAATTTTTATTAGGTTTCTAGGAGAGTCCTAAGTCCTAAGACTTAAGCTTATTAGCTAGCAATTAAATAAAAGCAAAAACATAGTTTTTATATATACAAATCCTTTTACCTTATGAAATTTAATTAGTTGGCAAACACAAAATCCATTTCCTCTAGAGATTTAACCAATTGGCCAAAAAAAAATCACGGTAAACATGATTTGAAAATGTAACATCTTTTACAGTGTCCATAAAAACTAGAATTATTTTAAGTGATTCAAAGGGTTTTTTACTTAAGAATGTAAGATGTTTACTTTTCGAGAATCCAAATTTGAATCGGTAGCTTTAGCTAAGCCGGCGTGACTGTCTGCCGATATTTACTGTAATGTCACACCAATTTGCATGCCCGTCAGAGCCATTAGAGAATTTTTACAAAACCCGACCTTCAGGTCTGCAGGCCAAGACCCGAGCTCCAAAACGAAATTAACCAGCCTATAAGCAATATCGATCACGTTTTAACCATAAATGTGGTGCCAAACAAATGGTTATAGTCGAAGCATAGCGCTAAAGCAAATACGATCGATAATTTTTTTGCACTTTTGATTTGCCGCAAGAGTTGTCGATGAATTTGCTGATTTTTTCCTTTTCTTTATTTTTTTTAGGTTTAGTACTTACGCAAATCTTGCGCAGCCGATACAGTTAATTCCTGCGCAACCGCAGCGATTAGCAGCAGCAGTAGCAGCGTGTATTTTGACATATCTGGTCCGGGGGGAAGTACGAAATCGGATGCAGAAATCGGTTGACCAAGAGTAACTTCAATTGACACTCGGCTCGAAAAGATTCCGCACGCGCGCGATATTAAACGTATCGAAGGAGGTGACAGGTGGTTCTGGCCGGAGACTTATCACTGTGTACACGGGATGCGTGCGCCGATCGTCTTTTTATATCGAGCTTCAGCTGAGGCGCCGGCGCAGCAGTCGGCTTTCAATGTCCGACATCGGAAAGCTTCCGAATCGATGGGGTTTCGATCGCATCGAAAGAGCTTTGGCCCATAAAGCGAGCCAGTGTGCGAACCACTTTTGCTTTCCGGCTCGCCGCTTTTGGCCAGGCCAACCAGCAGAGGCAACCAACAACCAACAAACAACCGCCACTGGCAACCACGGAGTGACCAATGACCGAGCCACCCAGCAACCCTGCGGTTGCCCTTTCGATTTCATTTTCCTCTTCGGTTCATTGAACTCTACCCGCCCGTTAACGAATGCCCAAGTAATTGGGGGTCTTTTTCCCAAGCGGTTATATAGGGTATATTTTGCTTATCCAATAACCAGGGCAATAAAATTTCATGGTTCGCTATCTTCGAGGAAGTCGAATCGAACCACTTCATTTAGTCACTTGACCGGGCTTAAAGTGTATTGTACAAGTGCACAGGAACTAGTTTTTATTGGGTCAAGATTTGGCAACATTTGTGTGCTGAAATCAACATTAGCGGATTGACCAATCTTTTGAAATAGGCAATTTAAATAACAGTAAGAATCAAGCGAGCACAACCTACTTTTAAAAGTAATCGAAATGATAGCCCACTTTGAAAAGTACAAAATGTTTGAAAAGGGAAAGGAAACCAGAATCATTATTTTGGGGTCAATAAATATTATAATCAATTATTATGTACCTTCACCACTTTAGCTCAAAGAGTACTCTTGTCATCCATGTTTAGAACTTTTAACCATTGCAATTAAAGCTATAATGATAAAAAATAAAATTAAATTATAGACATGCAATCAAACTTTGTTTGCATCATTAATAAATTGTTGCCTCTCACCGTTACATAGCAAATGTTTTATATCTTTTACAACACTATTCTTTGAGTTTAATTCTTCAATACCACTTCATGGTGCCGAATTCAAGTTTGTTGCCTAAGTCTTTCGTTTGGCCAGCACATTCTTTTGTCCAACTGGGCTTTGAGATGCACATAAGTGCGTGTGGGTATGGGTGCTTATGTGTGATTGTTTGGCCAAAAATAAACAGTCCAAGGACCTCGACATGTGTCTATGGAAACTGTTGCAATTGTTGTTCAAATATAAACAAACGATATGCGAGTGCTTAAGTGAGCCGGCTAACGGTATATATGGTACGATGATTGGTGATAAATAAGTGTCGAAACCGGTTGTCGGCAGTCGTCTCTTAACATTCATTGGGCACGCAATCCGTTTGGGGACCAGCAGTTTCCGACCAAAAAAAATATCTATTCTAATCATCGAAAAAGCTAAAAGAAAAATCTAACAATGCAGAGATGCTATTGCGGTGGCATGAGATCGGGGAGTGTGCAACATCAGCAACATATTCCCCTGCAAAAAGACCAATATCCAGTGCAGCAGCATCAACGTGGTGATCTCAGGTCGGTGACCTCATCCTCCAGACAAAGCCTACGCCCCACGCAATTCATAAAGCGACCCAGCCTAAAAGCCCCGCCCAAATTCGGCCTAGGACACTCCAGCACCGAGCTGGCCAATGACTTCAGTCGCCGGAACTCCACGGCCACCTCGGTGAGTCACTGCTCCAGCTGCAGCTGCACTTCCTCCCAGCAACGCCAGCAGAGCAGGGCCAAGGTTTTGCGATGGGGCTGGGAGCGAACAGGAGGTGTTGACACCTCCAACAACAGCAGTGCCAGTCCCACCAACAACAATTATGACAAGTACACGGACAATCGACGGCTTTACGAGCAGAGCGCATGCGTCGCCAGTCGCCAGAGGAACCAAGGTCAGGGTCAGGTTTACACTGGCAACTCATCGCCATCGCCATCACCACGCCCAGTTCAGTGCTTTAGCAAACAGCAATCCATGGATGAACTGCAGCAACTGCAGGCCTTGCAGCAATTCCGCCTGATGAATGCCCGTGATTGCTTCAGTGACGGGCGGCAGGATGAGCTGCGTCTGCAGCAGGCCTACGATAATCTGAACGCCAGCAACGCGGATAAGTGGAACAAGGATCGGGCCAATGAGAGCAGGCAGTCCGGAGGAGTACCTAGTAGTAGCACCACCACAACGCCCTACGCCCTGCGGCAGAAGTTGCTGCAGTTGAGGCTGCAGGAGGAGGAGAGGCGGGGCAGGGGCACGGGCGCCATGTGTGCTCCGCTGGGCAAGAGTTGTGCCCTTAGATACAATTGACATACGATGAGTGCAAGGTGCTATAAAGCCAACAATCTTAGCAGTTAGTTAATGATTAAGCAAGGCCTGTGGAAAACTGATTTATAAAATATATAAATTTATGGACTTCTGAAATTGATTAAAATATCTTTCAAATGAAGATATTTGTACTTAATACCTAAACAAATATGTGTCTTCTTTAAAATGCATTTTAAAACGTAAATAATAATTTTTGTAGTCATTTTAACATATTGTTATCAAGTAAAACCACATTTTTGTATTTAATTTTTGTATTGCTAGTATGTATTTCAATTTTTCTTTTAATAAAACAGTGCTATTTTGTTACAAGTGCTTCGTCATTGTGTTTAATTTTTATTTTTTTGTTTCACTTTTTTGTATACTTTTTTTTAAATAATTTTTATGTTTTGCCATTTGCGCTTTAATGTAATTCTTCTTTCCCCCTTTGTCTTTTCTAATTACCATCTTGAAGTCAATTACATTTGGTTTTTATGTTTTTACGATATAACGTTATAGAATTCTTATGACTTGTGTTGGGGTTTGAAAACAGCCGATGTCGTACTGGATCGCGATATTACAAGTACATATATAGTCGTAAATATACGTTGAATTCATTACAACATTGAACAGAGTACTAGAGTGAGAAATAGACGAGGACTCATATGTTTTGCCTTTGTTTTTGCATAGGTTACGCGATTGTTATTAGGTTTGCTTGGTTGTCGGGCGGGGGATTATACAAACGAAACCATTTTGGGTAAGTTGCGTCAGGCTGCATCGCTCCGGATCGCTGCCTGCCCGGGCATAATACTTGTAATTGAATGTGGCGGCTATTAGCACTAGAATGTACCGACAGTAGTTGTAGAATGCAAAATACACAAAGTATACAAGTACATGTACAAAAACCGTGTCTGTTTGCGTTTGTTGCGCTGCTGCTTACAAATATTTTATTACTTGTATATTTTTGTTTCGATTTTTTTCGTGTGTGGATTTCGCATGCATTTAATGGGCCTGGTACTGGGTCTGCTTTCCTTTCGAGTGGGGGACTTTGGAGGGGTAACATTATCTGCCTTGTCGCTGACATCAGCAGAGAGCACACAGTGCCGCTCGAAAGCATGCGCCTTAACTAATGTGAAAAGTTTAAGTTTTCTTTTTGGGTTTTCCTTAAGATCTTGCGGATTCAATGCTGTGTGCGTGTTTGTATGACGGCGGTGTGTGATTGTGTGTGTAACGCAAACAGTTAAAAAAAATATACACATTATTTGTTTATTTTAATATTTTTGGTGTAAACAATTCAAACTTATGTAGCTTGCAACTAAAATTGCTTTCCTCATTTTAAAACTAAGTAAACATGTATCGATGTAAAATTTCTAAGACAATATTACAAAAATAAATCGTGCTTCGAGTACATATGTAATATGTAGTTAACTCAACTCACAGTTAAAAGCATTCTCGTACAGTTTAATTAACGTAAAAGTTAACATTTTTACCATTTGCTATTCTTTTAGACACGCAAAAAATAAATGGGAAGAACAGAAGAGTGGTTAAAAACCATTGCCAAAGACTGCTTAAGGTGCCGCCGAAGTAGGCTCAAATAAAATGCTGTGCGAAATAGAAATGCAAATTAAAATACAACCGGTGCGTGCACTTTTCGTACCTACTGTACGGGTGTTCTAAGCATGAGTGTGTGTGTGTGTATGTGTATGTTGGCTTTGCGCAAGGAAAAACTATAACAAAATTAATACATTAGGAGATAAAATATTCTTGCTTATGCAGTGTCTTACACTACCATTAGTTTGAACTAAAGTGTCTCGATTTGTGTTTTGTTTTTTGTAGATTTCATTTCATTTCATTCTATTCGATTTGTTTTGCTTTCTTGTTTTTTCAAATGAAAAATAGACTAATTTGTAAAGATTCATATACCCCTTATAACGTTGCTCACGATTCGATTACACGTATTTGATAAAAACAAAATTTCTGCGCTTTCCGTTGCATGTGGACACGGATTTTCCTTTCCATTTTCCCTATTTTTGTGTGGGTGTGTGGCCGTTTGTAGTTGCTGTTGTTGTGCATTGTTTGAGGTGTCCAGCGTTTATTTTTTCTTGTTTTTATTGTTGGCGCCACGCGGCGGTGTCAAAGGACGTCCTGAGCTGCCAAAGTTGGGATAAACAAATCGTCGCTTGTCGGCGGGTTTCAATATCTGAAAGGAGCACATCAATGTGTCGTCCACGGACATCATGGCACCTGCAAATGTAATCGATAATAATTAATCAATTTTGCGGAAGCGAGAGACAATAATTGTCCGCTATATTCTAGGTATTATTATTGATTATTTTAAGAGGCGCAATTTCAATGTGGAAATTTAATGTGGCTGTCAGCTTTCACTTGCCGGCAGCTTATCGCTTAATTCAACGATTACAAGGGTGCTTCATAAGCCTTGCCCAAATAAACAAAGTTAATCTCCGGCTAAAGTCCGCGCATGATCATCACTCACCCGCATTGTCGAACTCCCCGCAATAGTTGGGCGCCGAGAAGAGCGTAACCAGCTGACGTTTGGCGAAGAATTCGTAGCCATCCTCCACCACCTGATGGGCCCGACAGATCAGGTCAAATTCGTGCTTCTGTAAAAATTTACCCACAACCTGAAAAAACGAAATCATAAGTATCAATCTGCCATAAGTTGTCATTTGAAGGACCCACCTCTGCTCCGAATGTGAAGCTTACACCGCGATCATTCTCGCCCCAGCCCATGGTATCCTTATCCGGATCGGACCACAGCAGATCACACAGCAGGCCCTGATCGGGGACGTCTGTGGGGCGCATGATGCGCCGGATCTGCTCCATGGACGACAGATCTGGACTTAGGCCGCCGTGGCAGCAGAAGATCTTCTCATCCACGATGGCGGCCACCGGCAGGCAGTTAAAGCAGTCCGTGAACGTTTTCCACAGCTTGATGGTGTAGCGACGTTTGCATTCGTCATAGAACCTGTCAATAAAGTGTAATTAGTTGAGTAATTTTATAAATTATTGATATAGAACGTGGCATTTGCAAACATATAAGGCAATAAAGGTGAGAAGTGTTTCTCATCTCAAAAGTTTTGTTTATAATTTCTGTAAAGTCTTTAGTTTTGAAAAGGAAATAGAAACTAGAAGGGTTCTTAAAGCTTTGGTCACTTAAAAGCCAAATATGGATCCTAACACCAATAACTTAAAGGTTAAATTGCACTTAAAGGTGAATTTGAACAGCAAATTCTAGGCAACATTTTAAATTGAATTTCTAGCTATCATTAAATGAAATTAATCTAAACGGAAGTGACTAGCCATTTCCCATTATTGGAGCCCAGAAAACCCCGGCTTACCCGTAGATGCGGTTGATGCTGGCGCACTCGTGGTTGCCGCGCAGCAAGAAAAAGTTCTCCGAGTACTTGATCTTGTAGGCCAGCAACAGACATATCGTCTCCAGGGACTGCTTGCCGCGGTCGACGTAGTCGCCCAGGAACAGGTAGTTCGACTCCGGCGGAAAGCCGCCGTACTCGAAGAGGCGCAAGAGGTCGTAGTATTGTCCGTGTATGTCACCGCAGATCTTCAGCGGAGCCTCCAGTTCCAGGAGGATGGGCTGCGACAGGAAAATCTCGCGCGACTTGAGGCACAGGCTCCGGATCTCGCTCTCTGACAGCTGCACGTTCTTCCCCGGACGTGCACCGCGCACTGCAAACAAACAGGGCAAATTGGGATGAGGTGATAAGAGTGTGGGTGGCGGTGGTGGTGATGGTGGTGCGGCAGGTGGAAAAGGGGGGGTGTCAGGTTTGTGGGATAACGTACCCTCCAGCAAACGCGATATAATGCTGTCGATGTTCATGATATCCGACATGTTTGTGGCCCGGTTGCTCCGCTCCCCGAATTTCGCTTGTCCGCCGATTCGTGCTACTGCTATTTCCCGTAACCTATGTATTTTCGGTATACGTTCGTTATGTATGTTATTTCATCGATGGGCACGGGCTGCGTGCGCCTGTGTGTGTCTGCGCCGTGTCCGTGTGCGGATGGAAACTCGGTTTTGCCCCTCTGTCCAACCGGATGCCCGGATTCACTACCTCGGATGCTGGCCCCTGTACGGTTGGGTGCTTTCAATCGTACGGATACGTCTGGGATCGCCAGCTGCTCTTTTATTGCATTTATTGCACGTTATATTCGCGACGTACTACAAAATTTTCTCCTACGTTGGTTAGTGACGTCGATTGTTTACAAAACGAGCCGATATCCTATCGATTACTTGGCACAAACCTATCGCTGGCGCCCAGTGTGACCGAAGAATGTGAGGCTAAGCAAAACAGTTACTTTTTACCCGCACTATTGTTTGGCTCTCCAATTTCTGGCCTCTACCTCTACCAACGTTTGATTTTAATAAAAAGAATGTATATATTCTGTATTCTGCTTGAAATAAACAGAGATGCACTCGAGATCAAGATCGCAATGGTAATTTTCCAAGCTTTCCCAAACAAGAAACAAAAAAAAAAATATGATTTCAATATTTTCTTATTCAAAGTTATCATCGCTGTCGTTGAAGCTTTTTCCGCTGCTAAGGGTGTTGAACATAACCCGCTTCCTGGGCAGCGGGACCGGCCTGGTGTTCAACGTCGACTTGGAAGCTCCTCTGACTGTGGCCGCCGGCTTGACCAGAATCTCCTCTAGCCGGGCCTTAAAATCCCGACTAATCGTCCGTCGAGGACTGGAACTTCGTGACTGCTGCTCGCTGCTCTCCGATTGCTCTCCGTCCTGCGAGTTGGCTACATCCTCCTCCGACTTCTCCAAAGTGACCGACCTTTGGATCCTCTTCTTGGGTGCCTCCATGGGTTTCAATGGGCTTGTGTGTTTGAGGAGCACTTCAGCACGATCCGAGAACTTCGCGGAGCAGAGTTTCTCCACGAACTTGCGTATACGATTTCGCGTAGCATAGAAATGTGGATATTGCTGAAGAGGGTAAGAGTTACTATTGCCTGTTTCATTTAAAGCTATATATTATTTGGCTTACCAGTTTCAGTTTGTTGCGCTGATCAGCCAGCTCAGAGTTGACTCTCTTTAGGGAGGTGTGGGAAATTCCCTTGGACTTCATATCGAACCCGTAAGGCATCAGCTTTCGGTTGACCATCTTTCGAGCATCCCTGCGGGTGAGTGGTTTTTGAGGGGCTCTAAAAACATAGGAATCATTTATATAAATAGCTTAAAGATCAGTTAAAAAGGGCTTTAAATTAAGAAACTGACTTAATGATCCTTGCAGGAGGCTTGGTAATTTTTGGCTTTGGCAATTCCCTGGGGGCCTCCGATTCGGAGGTGGATACCTCAGTGCCCTCCTCCTCCGTTTGGCTCTGCTCCTTGGCATTCTCGATCTCCTCTTGGCTCAAACTCTCACTGATGTCCGTAGTTTCCCGCGTTTCCGGCTTGTTGGAAACAGGTTCCCTAGGGGATTTCGTAAAGGTTGGATTGCTGCCCGAACTTCCAGCACTTGGCTGCTCCTTCTCATGCACTTGCACTTGGGTCACCAGCTGGGAAAATGGCTTTTCCGGGCTTTTCCGCGGCACCTCCTCAATGGAATAAGTGTCGTCGTCCCGTTTCTTTTTGAGAAATTCGCTCTCCACTTGCTTTCGAATGCGTTCCATATTGGATTCCTCTTTGCGACCCACCGGCTTGGGTATCTTGGATACAGCCGGCAAGTTCTGGACGGGCTCAGGCTGCTCCTTTCGCACACTCAGCTCTTTGAGCTCCCGCTCCAAGGCCTCCAGTTTCTCCTTGTAGCCCATTTCGAGGTGGAAAACCACCTCCTCCAGCTTGTTGGCGCTGATCTTACCAATCTCCGCCACCTTTTCGGTTAGAATGCGCTCCAGATCCTCCAAACAGGGCGTGGCAACACGATCTTCCAGCGGAGGAGGCGTGTTGGCGGATGCCTGTTTGCTCTGCTCAAGGGCGTGGCTCAAGCCCTCTAGTCGTTTATTAATATCCTAGGTGTCACAAAAGGATTTAAATGAACATTAGTGCCCACGGAAGGAGTACATGATCCTACCTTTATGAACTGCTCATTGCTTTGCTTGAGCTCCGTTTGCCACTCCTCAAAGGTGCTGAGCCGTTCTGCCAGTCCTGTGAGCTGCTCCTTCCTTTCGGTGGCCTCGCTCTGCCGCGCCTCTCCGCTGCCCTCGTCCTTCTCCTTCGGCTCCGCCAGATTGCTCTGAATGCCCACGGTGCGCTGCTCCTGGCGCGGACTCACTCGTTTCGATCCCGTGCTCCGCTCCTTGATATTTCGCTCGGCGGCATTTAGACGCTCCTTCAGCTGCTTGATCTCCAGCTCCATCTTGATGGTGTTGATCAGGTGCACATCCGTGTCCTTTTCCCGATCCTTATCCTTTCCCGTGGCGGATGTCAGGCTGGGGGGCGTGGCCACGCGGTGCTTGCGACCAATATGTACATTCAGGGCCTCGTTGCTGATAAAGTTCTTGGGACACAAATGACAGGGATAAACCACCTCGCGAATGGCCTCGATCTGGGTGATCCGCTTGTTCAGCTGCACCACCTCGTTGTTGGATTCACTCAAGGATTTCCGGAGTGTGGCAATCTCCTGCTGGGCTGTCGAATGAGCCTCCTTCAAATCCGTGACACATTCGTCCAGGTAAGTGCGACAGCAGAGCAGGTATTGAATGGCATATTGCGACATCACAAAGTACTTGGCAATGCCACTGTCCAGGATGTGGGTTTCCAGAACCGTGCCCAAAGGAGCCTCCGACAGATGGGCCAGGGCCTTGTCCACCAGTTCGAAGTTTTGCTCCCTAAGGATTCGCTCCGTTTCATAGGAACCTGTCCGGGAAAACTCTTAATAATAAGTCAGATATATTTAATACGTGTATGCCTTACCCATTAGTCTCCAATCCAGCGGACCATCACGATACTGCCGCAGCTTAAAGCCCGTATCTCGGACCATCTGCGGATATTTGCCCTTGAAGCCCATTTCTGTGAATCACCCACAACCGAAAAAAAATCGAAAGTTTGTTTACTTCTTCTTCGCCTTTTTTGTTTTGCTGCCGTTCTTTGCCAAAGTTCACTTCTTTGTGTTTTCACTTCGCTTTCCCTTGTTTTCGGTTAACCGTTGTCAAAGCAACTACGTTGTCAGGGCGACAGGTTCAAAATTATTAGTCTGGCTTGTGGTTGCAAGCTCGGCTTAATAAGGGTTGTTGTCCTGGGGATTGAAATTAGGGGGTTGTATAACACTTTGTGTAGAACAGTGAAGTTCTTGAAACATTTAATAAGTTAAATCTGACATCATTGAAAATACAGATATAGAAATTTTTTTAATGCAATAATTAATTATAAATTAAATGAAATAATTTGAATAATTAAATTATAAAAAACACGTTGAATTGTATTCCTAAATTAATGAATAATTAATAATAAATTAATAATAATTATGAAACTTAAAAAACAAATTAAAAGTTACTAGCTCTGCAAGTAGAAGTTTTAACTTGTCGCGTCAGGATAATAATTCTTTAAAAATTATAAATATACTATAAAATCACTAAATTCAAACAGTGCGCACATATGACGACAATTGACAGGATCCTTTCGGATAAATAATTATAGGGCTATCGGGCATCTCCGCTGAAGCATCTGTCAAAAGGCACAACTCAGTTGCGATTAAACTCTTCGACCGCGAGGATGTCCTAAAAGCACAACCCAAGCAAAATGCCATAAGTTTTGTTTAAAAAGTTCAAATTATAGCAAATAATTACACAGATAGGCAGAGAAAACAGCAACGAAATGTGGCATTGGAGTTTGTTGTGTGTTTTCCTACTGGTTCCTTTGGCAAACTCCACGGGTAAGCATAGGAAAATTGTGTACCAGCCCATGAAAAATCTGTGAAAATTCCGATACCGTGATGCTGTATCCCAAGTATCTGACAGATGTCAGGAAGCTGCGCCCACGAAGAGAGCGAGAGCAGCGTCTGCGCAGAAGTTTGTTTTGGGAAATTTACCATTTGTTTGGGATATTAATTCGGCACAATTCTCTTCAATTTCCTTCCTTTCGCACAGCTCCAATAAGTTTTGAGGCAAATCCGGACACCAAACGTCTCTATGATGATTTGTTGAGCAACTATAATCGATTGATTAGACCCGTTGTGAACAACACGGAGACCCTGACGGTTTGGCTAGGTCTGAAATTGTCTCAGCTGATTGAGGTCAACCTAAAGAACCAGGTGATGACCACTAATTTGTGGGTGAAACAGGTAAATATCAAATAGGAGTAGAAAACAGAGCTATTTACTTGATTGATTTTAATTGATTTTAATATTCATTAACAGCGCTGGTTCGATTACAAGTTACGTTGGGATCCGGAGGAATATGGTGGAGTTGAACAGCTCTATGTACCCTCTGAGCATATTTGGGTGCCCGACATTGTGCTTTACAACAACTGGGATGGCAATTATGAGGTGCATCACAAATAGATTAATTATATACTAGATCTAACTTTGTTTTTCATTATTTTTAGGTGACTTTAATGACCAAAGCCACTCTTAAGTACACTGGCGAAGTGTTTTGGGAGCCACCGGCTATTTACAAGTCATCATGTGAAATGAATGTTGAATACTTTCCCTACGATGAGCAAATCTGCTTTATGAAATTCGGTTCATGGACCTACAATGGAGCCCAGGTAGATCTGAAACATTTAGATCAGGTAAGGTTGATATTTATATAATTTAATGAAAGTCTTGGCATTAATCATATTTTGTTCAGGTTCCTGGCAGTAACCTTGTGCAAGTGGGCATCGACCTAACCGAATTTTATTTGTCAGTGGAATGGGACATACTTGAGGTGCCGGCTACCAAAAACGAGGAATACTATCCCGACACATTGGAACCATTTTCAGGTGAGTTTAGCTTAGGCTTCCCTCATATTATTTATTTAAACAATGCTATCTATCACTTAGATATAACATTCAAGCTGACAATGCGACGGAAAACTTTATTCTATACGGTCAATTTGATTGTTCCGTGTGTGGCTTTAACATTCCTCACGGTGTTGGTGTTTTACTTGCCAAGTGATTCGGGCGAAAAGGTACAACTTTTATTTACCTGATTTTTAGCACGCAGCATGTATTACAACATTTAGAATGCAACCCCTGTGTAACTAGTAGATTTTTTTGGTATAATAATTTAAAAACATTTTATTTTAACAATTCTTAAATATACAGTATTTTATTTAAATACTTCTTATCAACTATCACACTTCGATAAACAAATCCACTACAATATCTAAACCTTAGATAAACTATCTACCTCATATGCACCAATCCAACTTATTTAAATTACTTTAACTATTACTCCTTAATCTTTCAAGTCTGCTATCCTAAAGCTGAGCTCTTGCAGTCTATACCCAAAAACTACAAATTATAAATTGGCTTTCAAAAAATGTTCATAACCAATATTAGAAATCTAAATTCTTTCTAAGAAGAGCTCAACTTGCACTACCTGCTCTTTCCAAACTCTAACTTTCTCTATTTCATACTCCAATTTTGTAACTTATAGATATTTCATAATGATAATTAGCTAATCCTATCTATCCATCAAAATATCAGCTCCAAATATCGTAGCCGCAGCGCTCTGTGAATTTTTGAAAGCAGCACACATATATTGACGCCCCATATAAACAATATATTCCGAATATCCCGTTTTGCGTTGAATATCATTTGTGCTGTCCTGAGTAGAGAAATCTCATAACGTAAATTTTCATCGAATGCTTAAAAATGCGCAATCGATAGCGACATCGAACCAAATCGAATCGAATTCAAAATGTCAAAAAGCCATTCTCAAAATTTGTCCATATCGCGTATCTTGTAATTGAGCAGCGCACTCACACACCCACTCACTGACACACACACACAAACATATAGGACACCTGCATTCAGCACAGGCACACCTACACCCACACACTCTCAGACTCACACACACACACACACTTACTTACTGGACTCGTGCAGTTTGTTGTTATATTCCTTTTGTCGTTGCCTTAGTGTTTGTTCGTTCATTCGTATCGCTCGTTTGCTCAAGTAAAAGGTAAATGCTTCGCCACCGATATTGATATGTATACCCGATATCAACTCAATCATACTAAAATATAAGTTGGCATTTAATAATGCATGTACGCTGAGGTAAAAATAATATACGGAGATCTTTGGCGTAGTAAAATAATTGGTTGAGCTTTTAAAAATAATATTTGTGTCATGGTAACTATTTTGCTGGTAACCTATATTAAATTAAAAAAAAAAAACAAGAATAATATAAAGGGTATCAAATGGTTTATAGATTTAATTCTGTAACTAGAAAATACATTTAATTGATTTTTAAAATTAATTTAATATCGCCGTTATTGCAGAAAATCTAAAATGCGTCAAAAAATATTTAATTGCGTTAGGTATCTATAAATTCAACATATGTTTCTTTTTATGAAACAAGGTACCAAAAAACCTTAAGCGTTATCTTGTAACAAGACATTCTGGAATTAATGTTGCTTTTATTTACGTTTACCTCTGGAGTGATTCATGGAAGCACTTTTCATGTCAAGAACTAGGGCTAAAGTACTTAAAAACTTCCCCCGAGAAGAGATACAAAAGTGGTACAAACTACCCGATTTTTTGATCGACACACAGCCACACATGTAATGGTAGTAAATTGCGCTTTGTTGTTTTGTTTTTTTTGGTGTTGATTGTTTTCGTGTATGTTTCGTATGATTGATTGATGTGGATGGGATCAGGTTATCCCTTAGATTGTGTGTTCGCGAGTGTGTTAGTTGTGGGTCCTTAGCTTGGTCACAGTATACGCGATGCAGTTCTTAAGTACGTATTCTTTCGTTCATTTGAAATAAATTGTTTTCGAATTGATTACAGATGCAAGCAATTGCTAAAAGTATTTTTTATTTTATTGTCTTAGCAAGCTCTAAAAACTAATGAAAACTGACTTGCTGCGGCCAATTTTATTTTACGTAAAAGCAATTGGCTACATTTTTTTAACAAATTATGATGATTGTATTTTAATTTGGTTGTTGTTCTGTGTTCATTGTCGTTGTTGGTTGATTGTTGGTTTGATTGTTTGATGGCTCGTGTTTCTGTCGGATCGAAAGGCCACCGATAGCCGAGGATATCGAGAGAAGGAAATTGTGTAAACATTTCGTTGACAGGTTACGTTATGTATTTCAATACTCGTGTCGTTGACCGTGTTTTTCCTGCTCTTGGCCGAAATTATCCCCCCAACCTCGTTGGCGGTGCCCTTACTGGGCAAGTATCTGCTCTTTACCATGATACTCGTCTCGTTGTCCGTCTGGACAACGGTCTGTGTGCTGAACATCCATTTCAGGTGAGTCTCGAATCGGGAACATGCTCAGGTAAAATCACCATATAAATCAGGAAACCGCCATAAAGCTAAAGTACTTCAAATTTTTTTTAAATATAAATTTGGTATATAAAGGGCATATTATTTAAGTTCTATCAAATTTTTCTTGATAAACAATTTTTTTATTAGATATTTAAAATAAAAATATTGTTAAAAGAAAAGTGTGGAAATGTATATTCACTTTTATATAATCTTTAAAATGCTCAAAAATAAATTAATTAAATGGTTTTCCTTCGCCATGTTGTTAAACAACTTTAAAAACATGATTTATAGTTTTTCAAACTTTGAGGTTCATTTTCTAATTATGCTTACGAAGATTCTGGACTTCCACATACAAAATTTTTTTGAAAAATCTGAAATCTCCTTAAAACATTGTTATTGGTTTAATAATAATGGCGGTTTTCTGGGCTTTTGGTGATTTGTTTTTCTGAGTGGGGGCTTAAAAAAGGTGTCAATTGCCCGCGGCACAGATCCCCCTCTACGCACAACATGTCGCCGCTGGTGCGAAAACTTTTCCTGCACTTCATGCCCAAACTGATGATGATGCGCCGAACGCAGTATACTCTGCCCGACTACGATGATTCCACGCCCAGCAACGGATACACCAACGAGATCGATGTGCGGTAAGTGGCATCTCGCGAAATTGAAAGAAAACAC